TAATATTATACTCATATTCATATAAAATACGGTATTTAATCTTATTATTTTGATATAATATGGTGAGTGTTTTTTATAAACTTTCAAAATTAACAGTTCATATTACATAATGCATCAAATATAGTGATTTAAATTTGTAATAATAAAAAATAGCCGATTTTTTAATTTTAAAATTAAATGCTCAATTAATTTTTAAAGAAATTTAAATAATTAGTTAATTAATTCAAGATTTGAAATACTATCATTTTATTTGAGGTTTTAGCTATTATTTGATATTCTTTTAATAATTTAAATTTAAACTCTTTGTTTTAAGTTAAAAAAAATTATTATCTTTTTTAGTTTTTTGATATTTATATACAAAATTTATCAATAAAAAATTCTTTAAGAAAAATTACTAGAGATGTCCATAATTCTTAACAATTATCATAGTTAATATATATTGAGAACCAAAAATTAAAAAATATTATAGAGAAAATTTAATTTATTCTAATTTTTTATTTTATTTATTTAAACATTGCATCTGAAACTATGTCGGAATAGGAATCATCAATAAATGTTAAAAATATTTGGATTTTGTAACCGAAAATAAAACTAGAAATAATCTCAATCCAAAATAATCTCAATCCAATATTTATATTTTTATTAGAAGACAGCAATATCTACAATGATTATTGGTTTAGATGATATAGTTATAGACTCCATAAAAACACAAACTAAGTTTTGAATACTCCCAAATCTTCATATTAAATTATTAATATAATAGTAATATTCAATTAATACTAATTATATAAATACATAATATGAGATTTTAGTCAGTATATTCAAGAAATTAATTGAATTATAGTTATTTAAATCTATCTAGATGTTTAGATTAAATAATAAATTTTTTATTGTAATCTAGGTTCTTCTTTATTGCTACAATATAATGTTTTATATTAATTTTAGAGGAGAATAAAGAGTTATTTAAAATATTAGCATTAAAAGTAAGCAGACGTTAATTAAAAACACAGCAAGAAATTGATTATTGAATAACTATTATAGGATAGCAATTATGTGTACACAATTGATTTTGAATAAGCCTACTTTATAGATAAAAATTAAGACACTGTTATTCTATAAATTGAAGTGCTAAAAAGATTAACAAAAATATTCAGTATAAAAAAAGATGTATTTTTATCAAAATTTCTATTAGCTATGATTTTAAATTAATAAAGAGATTGAATAGATGATGACTAAGTTTTTGATAGATAATATCTTAATGTAAAGTGGAAATAATTTAAAACTCATTTTCTTTTATAAGAAATGAATGTAACAAATAATGAGCAATAATAAGAAGCAGTTAAAATTTAGAAAGATTATTTAATTATAACTAGAGAGATTGTTTATAGAATTGAGTATTTAATGTTTTTTTAAAATTACTAGTAATTCTTATATTAGAATAATAATAATATTAGAGAAGTGATGAAGTGATAATTTAATATAAAATAGAGAGATATTAGATAACTTTATAAGAAATGATATTGATATATATAGATAGGATTTAAATAATAATTTAAATTAGATTTATATATAATAATTTTAAGAATATTCTTGAGAACTAATAAGTCTTAATTTATATATAATGATATCAAATGTTGTTCATTAAGCATCACCATATGGAATACATCCAGTCCATGGTCTAGCTACATATTAATTGAAACGTCCATCGAATTATAGAGTATTAGATACTGTATTCTAGACTTATGTTGCATACAATAAGTTGTATTCAACTGGATCTCTGGCTAATACCCACATAAAGAATTTAGTTGGTTCACTTACAATAACCCATTAATATTAGTCATTTTTGACTGGTCCTAATTAAACAATCCAATAATCAGCATATTCAAATGGTGCTCCATCTAAATGTACTTTTAATTAACCTGGTTATTCTGGATTTGGAATGTAAGCATAACCAGTTATTTCTTTCACTTCACCTGTAGGAGATCCATATCTCTCCATATTTAAAACACTTAAATTTCCATCTGATTATAAACCATAAGTAGCTCTAGTGCAATAAGCATCTTTTTCAAATGTTAAATGAACCCAAGGACTACTGGCTACTTCATACCAGTTACCTAAATATTAAGTAACATTTAGGGTTTAAACACTTTGCAATTATGCAGATGCCAATCCAAGAAGTACAACTATAATTAATTTGTTCATTTATTAATCAAATATTCAGGAATTTAATTCTGCTTTTATTCCCAAAATTAGAATAAATTCATTCTTAAATTATAATGCGTCAATTATTTAATTAAATCAATTATATAAAAGTCAATTTATTCANAATAAGCCTACTTTATAGATAAAAATTAAGACACTGTTATTCTATAAATTGAAGTGCTAAAAAGATTAACAAAAATATTCAGTATAAAAAAAGATGTATTTTTATCAAAATTTCTATTAGCTATGATTTTAAATTAATAAAGAGATTGAATAGATGATGACTAAGTTTTTGATAGATAATATCTTAATGTAAAGTGGAAATAATTTAAAACTCATTTTCTTTTATAAGAAATGAATGTAACAAATAATGAGCAATAATAAGAAGCAGTTAAAATTTAGAAAGATTATTTAATTATAACTAGAGAGATTGTTTATAGAATTGAGTATTTAATGTTTTTTTAAAATTACTAGTAATTCTTATATTAGAATAATAATAATATTAGAGAAGTGATGAAGTGATAATTTAATATAAAATAGAGAGATATTAGATAACTTTATAAGAAATGATATTGATATATATAGATAGGATTTAAATAATAATTTAAATTAGATTTATATATAATAATTTTAAGAATATTCTTGAGAACTAATAAGTCTTAATTTATATATAATGATATCAAATGTTGTTCATTAAGCATCACCATATGGAATACATCCAGTCCATGGTCTAGCTACATATTAATTGAAACGTCCATCGAATTATAGAGTATTAGATACTGTATTCTAGACTTATGTTGCATACAATAAGTTGTATTCAACTGGATCTCTGGCTAATACCCACATAAAGAATTTAGTTGGTTCACTTACAATAACCCATTAATATTAGTCATTTTTGACTGGTCCTAATTAAACAATCCAATAATCAGCATATTCAAATGGTGCTCCATCTAAATGTACTTTTAATTAACCTGGTTATTCTGGATTTGGAATGTAAGCATAACCAGTTATTTCTTTCACTTCACCTGTAGGAGATCCATATCTCTCCATATTTAAAACACTTAAATTTCCATCTGATTATAAACCATAAGTAGCTCTAGTGCAATAAGCATCTTTTTCAAATGTTAAATGAACCCAAGGACTACTGGCTACTTCATACCAGTTACCTAAATATTAAGTAACATTTAGGGTTTAAACACTTTGCAATTATGCAGATGCCAATCCAAGAAGTACAACTATAATTAATTTGTTCATTTATTAATCAAATATTCAGGAATTTAATTCTGCTTTTATTCCCAAAATTAGAATAAATTCATTCTTAAATTATAATGCGTCAATTATTTAATTAAATCAATTATATAAAAGTCAATTTATTCATTTAAACAATGTTTTTTATATTAAAATCTTTTTATTTCTTAAATATTGATTTTCACGATGTACAATACTCCATATCTATGTAACAAGGCCCTTATTTGATTTTGTCATTACAAATCTTAAAATTACTTAGAAATAATAAATAATTTCATATAATAGATTATTTTAAAGAAAAATAAGATTCTTTATCTGTTAATAATGAGATTATCTATTTTATAATAGCCTTAGATATATAATTAATATATTTGATACTTGTGATTTATTAGATTTTTTATACAAATTAGAGAGCAAGGAACTCTATTGATAATTTTCAACTTAAGAATTTGGATTATTTTCTATTTTTGTTTTCTTAATCTACTTCATAGTTTATTTACTATTTTCAGATGTTTTACACTCAGCTTAGTGAAGAATAATTTCAAAACAGCAGTATTTTTTTATTGCTAATATTACTCCATTTTATTTAAATTATATAGTTAATCGTATTTTTACATAATTATTTTACAGATGAGAAGAAAGTACTTAAAATAAGATCTGAACACTTGATTTTTCAATCAAAATTTATTATTGTTTTTTCTGCAGAAACAAAACAACACCATATTCAGCCATAATTTCAATAACTACTTACTATGCCATTGAGTGCATATTCAATTTAAAATAACTTGCCTTTACATCTGAAAGTAGTCAAAGCAAAATCTTTCATCTTAATATTTTCATAATTTAATTTTAAAATTGATTTTCAATAAGAATATATTTGTAAATCTCTAAATAAATATAAAGAGCTATGGAATAATATAATTTAAAAATTCTCTATTAATAAAACCATATAGAAAAGTACAAAATTTTCTTTTTTACATTTCTATTGTCATATTTTTCAAATAGCATCTTGAAATTTTGATAATCTTTAGAATTATTTATTTTAATCATTATATTTAATATTATGTAATAACTAATAAATGCTATAATTCACTTTTGCTATTAAACTTAAACTTGTTATTAAGTTTATCCTAAATCATTAAATTTCTTTATCATATTAATCACTTCATCAATGCTCGGTCTTGTTATAGACTTAACTATTTTTCCTTCATTATCTAATCTTTGAATGATCATTTTTTATAATAATTCTTTTTACTATTTATTTATAATTTTCTTTTTTTCTTATTTTTCTAATTTTTAATTTATTTAAAATTATGTTATTTCGATTTTTTGTTTCATTAACTCATAGTCATAACTTGTTTCAAAAAATTTACTATTTGTAAAAATTTCATAAAAGATAAGACCTAAAGACCATATATCAACAGATTCATCATAATCTTAGGTGATATATACTTCTGGTGCTATATATAATCTAGTTCCTCTTCCTTTGGTTTGAGCTTCATTTGCAATCGTTTTTGCTAGACCAAAATCTATCAATTTTATTTTATTATCTTTGCCAATAACATAATTCGATGGTTTCAAATCTCGATGGAAAAAATTTAATTTATGTAATTCAGAAACACCTTAAGCCATCTAAAATATAAAAAAGTTTTTTACTTGCAAACAAGCCATTCTTTTATCAGGAAGGCTGTTTAAATCAATGTTTTTTCCAAGTTCCATTATGATGTAAATTCCATTTCCTTATTCTTCAAAAGCAAAAATTTAAATTAAGTTTTCAAAATTTTTTCCTTAAAGACTTTTTAATACCTCCATTTCATGTTCAGTTATGAGCATTTACATTTTTAGAGCAACAAGATTGCCATCTTTACTTTATGCTTAATATACAACTCCATAAGTCCCTTTACCTATTACAGTTCCTTTTTTAACTTATATATTTTCAACTTAAATCATTTCATTTGTTTTCATCATCTAGTTTCTTTTTTTATTTTTATTTATATAAATATTTTTTTTATTAAAAAATACTATTTGTGTTATTTAACAAAAAGAAAGGTAGAAATTTTGAAATTGCAATTTTAAAGAAGAAAAAAAATCTTTATTTATCTCACTATTTGTATTTTCTATATTTGTACTGCACTAATCAACTTTTAAATAAATTAATTTAAAAATTGAAAATTCATAATTAAGGATAAATTTACTTTTCTTTATTTTATTGAAAGCATTGATACAAAAAAATAATTGAACTTTATTTAAGTTGATAATATTTTAAAGACAAATACAAATTAAGCATCCATTTTCTTAATAGAATTTTTTAATAATGCAAAAATAGTTTAAATATATCTTAATCCTTTGAGCTATTGCAAAAATAACAGGATTGTTTTTCATCGTTTTCTATAATTTTACTCTAATTAGATATTTTAGTTGATAAAGTTTCTTAATTAAATTCCAAATCATCAACTCCTTTTTGTAAGATAATCTTAGGATATCTCTAATTTGATCCTTAAAATATGTCTATGTCAGTTTTATAGGAACTATCTCTTCATCATCTCTCTAATTTATTGTTCTTGAAATACCTTCCATGAAATATGTAACTCAAGAAATATTATATACCAAAATTACTTTCCTAGTTTTTTTAGTTCTACTTTTCATTATTTCCATCCTCATCAAAAAATATCTTCTATTTCAATTATCAAAAATTTCACTACTTTTAAATATGTCAATATCTTTTTAATTTTTTCAACAATAAAAACTATAAAATATCTATCTATTATTATTTCTATAAATTTTTATTAATAAAAACTTCTTGTTATTTTTGTGGCATATTTATTTAGCATATCAATTATGCAATTAAAATATAATCATAATTAACTATAATGGCTTTATAATTAATATCAATAAAATTAAATTAATTATAAATTTGATTCACTTTTTTAATCATTTACGATTTGATAATTTGTTATTCAAAATCTTCTTTCTCAATTACATTTCAGGTAATCAATACATATTAGATCTCCCGTTTCCAAGAAATCAAATTCATCATCATGTTTATGTTTATGAGAGTCTTATTTTAAATCTGCCAAATGCCACAAAGACATCAAATAGTAACTTATTATCTACTTTTTCACTTTAACAATAATGATTTGAATTTTATAAATATTTAATGATAATATAAAAAGATTTTAAATAGGATAATATTTTATAACTTGAACTTTATATCATATAACATTGAATAATATAATTGAATAATTAATGAATTAGCTAATAATCACTTATAAAATTGAAACATTTCTGCGACATTGTCTATTCCATATTTTTCAATAACTTTGGCTTTTTCTATAATTTACAACAATTAATGTCTGGGATCAGCTGGAAATAGATATTAAAATTTAACTGTTTAATCTTCCATTCTTTAAATAATAATATAAATCTTTACGTTAATTCATTATAAAGCACCATGTAAGAATGGTCAGAAGCTTTTTCATTCCAAAATGTATTTATTGTAACTTCACTAATAATTTCTGGTTTTTAAACATTTTAAAAGTTTATGATAGATATCCTTGGTTCATTTCCAGTTTATCTTATTTGAATAATATGAGTAGACTCTAAGTTAAATTGATAAATATCCATGAAAACTGCAGATTCATCAGCAATATGTTCTCCTCTAGCCTAAAGATGTATAAACTTAATTCATTACTATAGTAGCTACAAATTCAGGTTCCGGTAGCCAATTGTATCCATCATAATAATTTCTTAAATCAAAAGTTATTATACTAGATTTAGTTGATCCATCATTACAATTAGTCCAAATAGCAACTTAATGAGGATTGATCCAATTTGAAACATTCAAAACTGTAAATGAGTGTTAGAATTTAACATGGACAATATAAAATGCCTTCTCCTAAAGGTGAGGTTTGATCAATAATATTTCAAATTTATTTTCATCAGTATCTTAACCAAAGACAGCCATGGTTTCTTTGTCTACTTACCAAAAATAAAGTTCTGTCTAACCTTAACTGTTGGGATAATCATATTTTGCCACTACTTCAAGGTTGAATTATATGTCAGGAGAATAATTCAAAGGTAAAATTCTAATTGAGTAATGAGCAACATTGTTATTTGAATAATATTTTTCTAAATCTTGTGAAATCAAGTATTTTATTATTTCTCTTCACAATCAAGAGAAAATATACGAAATTCTATCATATTATTTCATATTTATTTACTATCAACGATTATCTCTTTACTTGCTTCATCACTCTTTAAATCCACTTTCTCACTAGATCCAAAAGAAAAATTTGCAACAGGTTTGTTTGTATTCAAATCTAACATTTTCATTTTGAGATCTGTTGGATCATGATATACCAATACTCTATAATTTATTTATATGAAAACTTGGTATATATCTCTAAGAAAAATTTGATTTTCTCAGGAAGTCTTCCTTCAATAGTAATTAATTGTTTTTCGATATCATATACTTCATAATGTCCTCCTTCATAATAAATGAATGCTAAATTATTTTTTAAGGCAACTATTTTTTCAAACCATCTTGCTTAAACAGTTGTCTTAACTGAGATATCTGATAATAGCAATATTTCTAAATTCCTCTTTTTTTCTTATAAACCTTCTTGGATCATTAAAAAATTATCTTAATAGAAAAATTATTAATCAATTTTTAATTAAATTAGTTTTATATTCATATAAAATATTGCTTACTTATTCTATAATAGAAACTCTACTTTAAATAATTTCTATTTAATCAAAACAAGTAGATGACAATATGTTTAAAAACTATATTTAGAATTGGTATTATTTTTATTTTGTTTGGCTTCATATCTATTATAATTTTGATGATATAAAGATAAATTATAACTACACATAAACAAAAATCAAAAATTAATGCTCTTATTGAGTACCAATTTGATTTAATATTAGATCAAAGGTCTATTCATTTTCTTATTAAATTTAATATTATTAATATGTATATTTGTAAAAATTAATTCAATTAATAAAATATTGACTTGATACTTAAATATCATAAGGAATGTTTTGTTCTACATAGGCCATTTCGATGTGATTGTCTACAATATACGTGTGGAAGTCCCAAAATCTTTCAGCTGCAAAAATGAATAATTAAATATGCACTACCTTATTTTTTATTATTTTTCATTCTATATTTATGAAATGCTTATAAGGCCATTTAACCAAAATGATTCTAATAAAGTTTAAGGGATACAAGCATATCATTTGTTTCTAATGATTCTGCTATCATTTTCAAACCATTATCATCAATATCATTTCTTACCATATCCAAATGGATTAAAGTTCTCTAAAATCCAATAAATATATACATTTTTGCTCAAAGCTTGTGCAATAGCTTTTGCTCCATAATGTCCAGTTCTATTAGAAGTAAGAATTAAACTTTCTAAAACACAATATTCCCCACATAAATATTTTGCGATAGCTTCACATCCTTTAAAAGATATTCGATTTGCTGTTAAGTCTAAAACTCTTAATTTATTATTTTCTAACAAATGTTCTGTGATGATATATATGGCATCACATGTAAAATTATGTTTTTATAATGAGATTTTTTCTAATCCTCTGTTAGAATGAAACATTTTGCCAAAATGAATTGCAGTTTCCTAACCTATCGAATGATAAACTGGATTATCCAAATTTAAAATTTATAATGAATTGTTTTTCCAATTTAGAATAGATGTAATAGCCTAATGAATTAAAGTGAATTATTACAATCACACCGTCATGATCTATTCCATTATTTGCTAGATTTAATTCTAAAATAGTTTTATTATTAAATAACATCTCAACAATAGACATTGCTCCTTTAGTTTATAAATTGTTAAAGTTTAAATTCAGATGAGTTAAGGTTTAAATATATTTAATTCCTTCTGAAATTAATTCTCCTCCTTCTACACCAATTTTATTACTCTATAAATTTAAACTTTCTAAAGAAGTACATCCTTATTGAATTAATGTTAATTTATTACCTTGTAAGAATTTGGATAATTCTTGTACTCCAACATTAGTGATTTCATTAAATGATAGATCAATGTGTTTAATATGTTCTTTGTAATCTTGAAGACAAGAAATTAGTAATATTAAATCTTAATCTAACATTCTTTGATTGAAATTAAGTTTGTAATTTCCTCTAAAAATTATATTAATGTCATCTGCTTTAGTTTAATAAGTTCTCACTATTGCTTGATTTATAGGTTTTGAAAATTCAGAACACTATCTTTTATAATCAGTTGCAATTTTTGCTCTAATAATTGTCCAATCCATTATTTTATTTAATGCAATAATAATTAACATCTTAAGTTATTTTAGATCGTAATCAAGAATTCAAAGGAGTAGAGTTTTAATTCAATTCTAGAAAGATTGTAGTTGATAATATTGATCCTTTAGAACCACTTTCAAAATATATAGATGCAGATAAACTAAATGAAATATTAAGTAATTACAATGACATTATATTATAGATTTTAAAATTGATGATTCAAAGAAAGGTGAAGAAGGCATTAAATTGAATTAACACATTAAATATTACGATTTCTCAAGACCTCCAACTGGTATTCCAAAAAAAGTTTTTAGAGCATACAGTGCTATCGCTAAAAAAAAGAAATGAATATAAATCATTATTATTATTTAAAACTATTCTAGTAATAAAAATTCACAAATTTTAGCATTGCATTTATTTTTCAATCTCTAATACATATACTAATACAAATAATAATATAATAAATTATCTCAATTTTTTATTTATTAAGCTTGGGTTTGCGAAATTATTTGAACTCATAAATGTAATTATTTTATTATTGTTAAGAAGTTTTAGTTGTTAGTTATATATAAATAATTTATAATAATACAATGGCAAATTCTAGGATTCACGCGATTGATTCACTTAAAACCAAATCTTTGTTAAATATAGAATCTCAAGAACAAATTTATGAAAGCCCTATTATTGTTTGTAAGACAACTCAAAATATAAAATCCATTCTTAAAAAATAGTAAGGATTGTAGACAGAAAAGAAGAAACTTTAATTTAAAGTTGATTTGAATAAAACATATGTGGTTGAAAATTGGAAGATTTATAACACTCCTTTTGAAGAAGATGACAGTTGTTGCTGTATAATATAATGAGTTTTGTAAATATTAATAAATTCATACTAATTAACTCAATCATAATTATTAATACAAGTATTAAGTCATTTCTTAAAATGATGAACTTTTTTAGGATCTTAATCCCAGCATAAATATCTTAAAAACTAAAGAAATTTTAATTATATTAAATTTTAATCAGATCTCTATCATTTATTGCATGAGAATTTGTAGATAACTCTTTATAATATGTTTCACTACAACAAATTTCCCATATAAATTTTAAAAAATAGATTACTCTATTACAGTATTTGAATAAATAAAGGCACATTCTGAAATACTTCAAAATCATCTTATCTTAAAATTAAGATAATATACGATTAGTTTTTTTGTTTTTAGGTTTTCTAATAATAAACTACATTAATTAAGGATAAGATATACTTTAAACTTTTTAAATATAGATTAATCAATTGTAAATTTAAATTATGTCAATGTAACATTCTTTTTGTTATTTGCAAATTTATTTTTATTCTATTCTACCATGTTATAACTTAGAGTTTTTTTTATGCAATAAATAATACAATGTTCCACCTACATTAAATTAAGTCATTATCTATAATTCCTCATCCTTTTAGGATATTCCATAAAATTATTGTTTTTCTGAATTGTTACAAAAGCAAATATTAATCGCTTGAATTCTTTTAGATTTTATTTTTTTTATAGCTAATAGTTGTATAAAAAGTTAGAAAAAAAATGAAATCTGAATTAGAAGTTTTGTATAAAAAAGTTTGAACTTCTCTCTAATATTGTATGAGAAGATGAATTTAAATTATTTATTAGAAGAGTTCTTTATGATTATTTTTCATTTAATTATTTTACTACTATAAAACCATAGAATTTAATTGTAATCTGAGATAATTTTTCTTAAAATTTTAGAGTTTTTGCTTTCTTTTACAATTCATTAACATCAAGATATCGGATATATTTTAAGTTCGAAATCACTCAAAAATCTGTATTTTAAACCACTTTACTAAGTAATTTGAAAAATTACTGTAGATAGTGATCATAATGTTGAATGCCGAAAATTTTTTCAATTCAAATTTATTGATATTTATCATTTTCATTGCTTCGCTTTGAATCTTTATTTCTCACTTCTTTTTTTCATCTTTAGATAAACTCCTAATAAAAGAAATAGTGCTACTTATTATCAAATTTAATATACTTTTTACTTTATTATATGTGTAATAATAAATACTTATTCATCACTAAAATATTTCCTATGTATTTCGAATTAAAAGTCACTTGATTAGATTTCAAAATTATATAAGAAAATTGATACTTTACTCCCTTATGAGAATTTTAATTATAGCAAACTTTAAATAGTTTATAATACATTAACTATTTCAATTCAAAACTATCAACGGTATTAAGCTAATTTTAAGAAAAATCGTTTTATTCAGGTTCTCTCTTACATTCAAATAGTTCTTGAGAATGTTAATTTTTATTTCTTCTAAACCCAAGAAATAAATTCATTAGGTAAATGTTCATATTACTCAAATAAATTATTTCGTACTTAAAAATAGGAACTTTCAAAATTTCATAATTTAGATTATAAAACTAATCCAATTAAAATCTTTTCAGGACTGATATTAAATGTGTGTTACCTAAACTATGAAATATTTATAATACTTTGATCAAATCTAATATGAATTTAACTAATTTTTCTGCATAATTTTAGAACTTGAGATTTCACTAAACCTTTTTTCGAATTCTTCAAAATTTCTTGAAGAACTTAAGCTTTTTCAAATAGTAATATAGTAATGTTTTATTGTAGATAGCTTTCAAATAGTTTATCTATATTTATCTTTCTATCATCTTAGGAATAGGAACAGTTGTAATTTAGTGTTTAAAAGTTAAAGTAGAATTCATAATTAAAGTGATGAATTTTATTATCATACAGTATTACAAAAGAATTATATTCAGATGTTGAATATAATCTATATTTAAAAACAAATTAAGAAAAGGTAAATATACTATTAAATTCTGGGGGAAGCTTTTTATTAATGCATTTATTAAATATTATATAATTAAAAACAATAAATATGATGGCAATTTTAAGAGTAATACTCAAGCCAAAATGATATGCTAGAATGAATTGAATTAATATCGAGAAATGAGGAAGATGAGAGAATGTAATATAATTTGATAAAAGTTTGAAAATGATGTGAAATTCAATAGTTATGGGTAGGAGGAGAGAAATAGTATGAATATATAAAAATAATTTTGATGTTATTTTGTAATTCCTAGTATTATAGCTGAGAGAAAATGAATAAAGATTTTAATTTTTATATTAAAAAATAAAACTGCTTATCAAATGAAGCCGTCTTAATTCCTCTATTCAGAATCGATTAAGGAGCAGAAGGCTCAAAAGGCAAATGTCACAAAAGTAAATTAAGGAATTGATAAATTTTAGTCGATTGGAGAGTTGAAACCTTTGCCTAAGACAGCCAATGTTCCAAAGGATTAAAATTCATCAATGATATACTCTTTAGTGAGTTTACCAGTGTAAGAGACATAGTTAATTTAATAGTAAAGAAGGACAGAATGACACTGTTGTATTCCCATAATCGTTAATATCTTAATCTATGAATATTAAGCCATAAGTAGTAGTTGGCAAAAACACTGAGATAGCTAGAAGCCTTAAAAAACTAAAACCATTAGATAGTTTAGATGCTACTCCTGAATCAGCAAAACCAGGTACAGGAAAGGGAGTTAGTGGAGAATAATAATTATAAGGACCCAAGTTGTAAGTTTATTTAAAGTCATTAAATTAATTAACAAATGGTCAATTCAAGAAGACACAAACACAATTGTTATTTGGATCAATTGAACCTAAACTTAATAATAATACTGTGTTATGTGTATTGCGTATCCAAAAACTTAAATTTTTTAATGAATACAATTAAAAGAATGAAAAAGTATAAATTAATTATATCTATAAGATTCCATCGTTATTTTGTTGGGAAGCCATTTATAGAAAGAAAAGTTTAATGAAGACTACTCCAAAAGAATTTGATGCAGCATAATAAGATCTATTAGATTTTGTCTATACAAGAAATGCTTATGAACCAGTGGATATCATTTTATGGAAAATCAAAAACAATGACGAAGTAAGATATGTTTTTATTTTATAAGAAATATGTTGGTTAATTTGATCTATCTAATAACGATTATCAAAATGCTAGAGAAATTCTTGATTTCAAATCTAAGATTATTTGTGAAACTTAAATTGAAAAGGAAATGTTTAAAACCATGAAATAGACAAAATCTTATATTGGTAATGTTTAATTTTAATTAATTTAACTTGGTCATGAAAAGATTCCATTAAGTATCAAATTTTAATATTATATTAAGATAAACATTCTGGCATTCCAGGATCACCAAAAACAGAAGAAGAAAAAGCAAGACATAGAATCATTGATGCTTCAATGTCAGGATAAGAATACAGATGGTATGTGGATGAAAACAATAAATTTGTTATTGAGAAGATTGATAAGGTTACTTAAGAGATTGTTGCTGAATGTACAATTGAAGTAGTTAGTGATGAATGTGGATAATTACTTGTTATTTATGAAACAAAATATACAGATCCAGATAATTATGGAAGATCCAGACCAACATCAAGATAAATGAGAAAATAACATGCTGATGCTTCAATGGTATTGATTAAAGAGTTAGATAAAAATGGTTCATTTACTGAAGTTCAAGCAAATATAAGAAATCTTAGTAGACAAGGAAGATTAACTAGAAAAGTAATTGAAGAAGCTTTATGTACTATGGGTTGTACTGCTAATTAATTATTATTGACTGAATGTTCAGAATTTGGAGATTGTTTGATGGATTTTTTACTAGTTACAGATGATTTACCAGGTGTATTGGAGGCTATGTAAGAGTTAAAAATTATTGGAGAAGAAGATATGAATTTAGAAAGCTTTTCAAATAATATATTTTAAAATATTGGTTAACATTTAAGAAAGAATACAAATCTAAAATCAGTTATTCAATTTATTAAAGCATTAGAAAAGAAACCCGAAGTTGCATTATTAATATAAAACTATTCTTATGCATCTGAAAATATATTATCTAATACTCCACCCTTTTTATAAAGTATTATTTACATTAATATATTTAGATTTCGATCCTAAAAATTATGAACATGTTATGGTATTAAGTAAATTAAATAAAATGATTGAGAAGTTTTAAATTAATACTAAATTCACAAGAGCTTTAAAGAAAGCACATGTAGAGGCTAAGAAATAAATATATTTTGAAATTCCATGTTTTCCAAAAGATAAAGATTTAGATGATAAATCAGAATCACTTTAGTTGAAATCGATTGGATAGAATATTATGCATGAAGTTGTAAGAAGATAAAAGTGGAATAAGAGTCATATTATCTTTGAAAACTATTCTGAATGGTTCTTTGTAGCTGATGAATAAGGAAATACTCCATTTGCTAGAATGATGGAAACAGCTCCTTTTGATGTTATCAAATCACTTTTTGCTGCTTATCCTGATTAATTATAAAATATCTTTAATAAATTTGATCCAAATTAAGATTTATTTGAAGGTAGAGTTCCAAAAAAAGATGATCAAAATAATAATGGAGAAGGAGGAAATGATGGAAATGATGGAAATGATGGAGGTGATGATGGTAAAAAATAAAAAAAAGAAAAAGAAGAAAATACAGAAGATTAATTATATTAAAAAGGAAAAGATAATGCAATAAGAAGAAACGCATTTAGTTGGGTGAAAGAACAAAAAGAATATAAAAAAAATTTAATCCATTGCTTATTATTAAATCCAGATTTAAACTAAGTTGATTTATTAGATCTTTTAAGAAATATTGAATTATTGGTCAATTAATCTTAAGAATCCAATTTTGAAACTCTAAAAGCTCAAAAATTAAGAGCTGGAGATTTTACTCCATTAGGATTGTACTTAGAATTATTGAGATCAAAATGCAAGAAGAAATTGGATAGAGTTTAAAGGGAAATAGGAACATCTTTGTTTATTTGTTAAATGTTAACTCCTAATATTGATGAAGAAGAGAATTAATAATAATAAGAAGGATAAGAATAATAATAAGAATAATAGAAACCAAAATCATCATTTGTTTGGAATAGCTAGAATCAATTAATTATATCATAAATAATTGGTAAATTACCAGAAACATTATTCCAATAATTTGATGATTTATTTAGATTTATTAAATGGATTCCCTCTTTAGAAGAATTAAAATAAATTAGATATATTAATTTACCTTATCGTCAATTGATCAAACATAAATAATAATAAAAGTTATTTGCAATCTTATAACAAATGTATGAAGATGTTAAATAAAATTAAAATTATGATCCTGCAGATTTAGAATCAGATTAATGTTAAAAGATCTTTTATACCATTTAAATTTGGACATTAATGCTAATGGAAATTAGAAATCTAAGATCTTAAAGATTAGAATAAGTAGCTACACAATTATTAACATATTTAAGAGAGTTTACTTAATAATATATAGAATTATTAGTTTAGCCAATGCCAACTAATATAACATCTTCATATTATCCATTATCACATTAATATAATGCTTATCCAAAAACTATTCTTGAATTCTTTAATGCTATTAAGTTTAATATTTTATTAACAGAAATACCTGTTTAAAGTTTAGATAAGTTAGATGTTAAAAATTTAGCATCAGCAATTAATAGTTGTAAAGACAAAGAACCTTTAAGAGATTTGATAAGATTGGTACTTACTAAAGATACAGAAAGTGAAGGTACTAAAAATGAAGGTGCAGAAAATGAAGGTGCAGAAGCATAAGAAACAGAAAAAGTTTATAAACGCAAAGTATTTGAATTAATTGTTGATCCTAATGTGATTTTTAATGATAAAGATGGAAATTATAAAAATGAACTTGATAAAAAATAGGTGGAATAGTTATTGTTAACTTATAAAGCTGAAAAAATATTACCTTTAGCATGTTAAAGTACAGATGAATTTAGTAAAAATGTTCATGGAATTATTTTAAATTCATTTTAAACTAGAAAATCTGTTGGTGTTACTCAATAATAAGTTGCTTTATGGATTAGAAATAATGATTAAAAGATTGATTCAAGATTGAAATAAAAATATATTGATTTCTTTAGATAAAATATGTCTATGTAATAGGTTCATACTTTGATTGATCTTGATATTCCAAAACCTAATAAAACTTATCCAAATTAAAGCAAGATATATCCTTATATTTAAGCATAAGGTAAAAATTGGGCATCAATTTTGGATGTTAGAAGATTTATTGCTGCTATAAAAGATAATATATAATATATTGATATTGAAAGTACTTTAAGATCAGTTGCATTAAATGGATAACATGAAAAATTAGAATAGGTTTTACCATATGTTAAAGATGCACAAATCATTAGATAAACTATCCATTTAGTTTCTAAAGTTGCTAATATGCAAATTTTTAACTTTGCTGGATATCTATAATTAGGTAAGCCTAATAAGCAAGCACCAAAAGATTCAGAAGATCCATAAGAATAGAATGTTGAAAGTGATAATAATAAACCAGATGATGGAGATGGGGATGGTCCATAAATAGCTTCTATATAAAGTTAACCAGAATCAAGAAAATAGTAATAAAGTTAATAAAAGAAAAAAGAAACTGCTTAAGAAAACGAAGATAAGTATTTAGGAGCTATCTTTGACTTTTCTGTGAAATGTTATGATCCAACAGTTTATTTCTTTAAGACTGCTATAAAGGAAAAGAAAGAGAAACATAAATTAGATATTCCGAAGTTTCCTGAAGCTTTGGATTAAATAAGAACTCCAGTTTCTATCTAATCATAATTAGTTGAAATGAATCAAGCTATTTAATTAGAATTTGATGACTTTTTCAGAACTCATTTACCTAAATGTGAAAGACTAGATATTAAAAAATTTGAGTCTAATTTTGAAAAAGATATATTAATGTTTAGATATTTGAAAAATTGGAAATCTACATTAACAAGATAGAATCTAAGATCTGTATTTACTTAATATGATTAAGGAACTGGTTAATAATCATATAAGAAAGTCTTAAATTAATTACTTAAACAATATTAAAGGTATGGTATGCCTATATGTAATACTTTGGAAGAGTTTCGTAGTACTTTAGAAGTCTTGATGATTTATGGAATTTAAAATATGGATTAACTCTTATTTTAAGTAGCTTCAAGTAAATTGAGTCCTACTGATAAAAATAATATATTCCTTAATTTAATTTAAAGAGTCATTAATCCTTAAAAAGAAGTTCTGGCCTAACATTATCAAATTAAAAATGCAAATATTTATTTACAATAAATTAATAGGATTATCAAATCAGTTAATATTAAATTGATATCAACTGAAGAAGATGTTGAAAGTTTCAAAAATAAAATCTTGTTTGAAATTAAAAGAACTATGAAATATTTAAAACCAGATATGGTAAATGATCAAAAAGTCTTAATTTTTAAATTAGCAAGTGAAGTATTACAAAGATTTGATTAATTGGATATAAAATCTTTATTTGAGGAATAGTTGATTGATATAGCGAAACTTATCAAAACTAGATAACTTAAAGATAAAGCATTATAAACATTTGCAGTTAAATATATTAAAAACAGTGAAGAAATTAAGAAAAATTCTAGACCCAGTCATAAAGATATAATTGCATCATTCAAAAAGAAAAGATTGGATGAAGTATTATCAACAAATGATATAACAAGTTATTTTGGAAACTACACAGATGCTTAATGTGAAGAGATTGTAACAGAATTATTTAAATTACCTTATGATAAAACTTACAGAGAAGAATTATTAGGAAAATTCAATAGGAGATTATTTGAAGGTCTAATTTTCTATAAGAGATTTAGAACTTATACTAGATTGATAAATGATATATTATTCAAATAATTATTGAAAGGTAAGGAGGATTTACTCATTTAAATGTTGAAGTAGCATTCTGATTAATCTGAATAAGTAAAGAAGTAAGCTAGTGAAAAAGTGAACGAGAATGAAAAAGGTGATGCTTAAATAGAAACAGTTTAAGCAAAAGCAGATAATGAAGATGGAGAAGGAGAATAATTACCTGATGGATAAGAAAAAGAAGATATAAAAGAATATTCAATAGCTTAAATTGCTGCTCATTTTAGTTTTTATGAATATTTTGATACTTTACATAGATTAAGAATAAAAGTAAAAAGTATTGAACCTTAACCTTCAATTAGATTCCTGTTATAAACTAATGAATAGCTTTTACAATTAGCAACTCAATTTGAATAATAGGGATATAATTATATAAGTAATTGTGTAAGAATGTTAAGATATTTGAGATTGAATCATTATAATTCAGATGAGTAATCAAACAAATTAGAAAGTGAACTTATGATCGGTTTTATTACAGAGAATGCAAATAACATAATGAGTCCATGTTTAAACATTATTAAAGAATATTTATTATTATCAGAGCATTAAGCTCCATTTTGGTAGAATAAGAATACAGGAAGATATTAGAGAGATAGATAAGCTCCTTATTAAAGATTTAAAAATTCTTATAAAGGATAGAGGGCTAAATAGATTTTGTAATATGAATTAACTAGATTAAAAATAAATGGTATAGAGAGAGGAGTGAAATTCTGTTTCCCATCAACTTATCAATCAGATAGTAGTAATAATATTTCAAGTGAAGATATTCGTAAAACATAAGTTAAGAGACCTACTTTTACGATTGATTAATATGTGGAACATTTATAACCTAAAAATCCTTAAAGATTAGATAATTAAATAGTAAATGATCCTGAGTTTGGATAATTGTTAAATAAATTATTGATACCAAATAAATAATTAGAATTTTTAATAGACAAAGTAGATTTTAAAGAGAATTTATAGAAATTAATATATAATGATCATGAAATGTATTATTATGTATTGAATTTCCCAATGTTTTGGTATGAAGAGAAATTAAAGAAAGAAAATTAAATATTTACTGGATTGTTTTAAGAATTTGAGTTAGGTTTAATATTTTTGAAATCTACGCTTTTATTAGAACCAAAATAAATAGAATAAGCATTGGATGTATATTTCGAATCAATAAAAGAGTTTGTAGTATAGATTGATTAAGGAGAAGGAGAGGAATAAGAAGAATTAAAATAAGTTGAATAAGAAGAGAGTGAATATGAAGAATATGAAGTTGAAGTGACAGATGATGAAGAAGATTAAGAAGATAATTAATAAGATAAATTAGATGAAGCATAAGAACCTCCTCAATAAGAAACATAAGAGAAATAACCAGCTAATAATGGATTGGTTAGTGTATAATAAGCAGATGAAGGACCAGGTGCAGATGAAAATAAAGAAGAATAATAATAATAATAAGATGATGGTGCACCTAGAGCTCGTGGAGTTGAAGATTAACCAAAAATAGCTTAAGCAAGAGTTTAACCACTAGCATAATAAGCTCCTGTTGCATAATAAGCATCTGCTGAGTAAAAACCTAAAGTTAAGAAAACTAAAAAAATTATGTAAAGAAGAAAGAAGTAAAAGGGAACCAAAGAATAAAAATTCGTAGAATCTGAAAAGAGTTTAAGAAAAGCTATTATTACTGAATGTAATTATTAAGTTAGATTCCAAATCTTTTTATAATTGCTCTTATTTGCTACTACTAATGAAGAAACTTTCAGATTAATTCAAAGATATCTAATTCATTATGAATCAGTTAGTCCATAATCTATTCCACTAGAAATTGATCCAGTTAGAAAAGCTAGATTGATAAAAGATGGATTTAAAGAACCATTTAATCTTTAATTTATTGAATAAGTTGAATTAAAGGCTAAAGAATTAAAATAATAATAAATTGAAGATATTAAACATATTAAAGATGTATTAACTTAAAATGAAAATAAAAGACATGCTGAATAAAGTGAAGTTTATTAAGTTTTAATCTCATCTATTTTATAAACTCCATTTGATGGATATTAAACTTATATTGATAAATTATTAGATTGTCCTGCTTATAGATGTTTATCAAGATATAAGAAATCTGTTGTATCTCATTCATTAGAAAAAGATTAGAAATTATAAGTAGAATTAAAGAAATTCTGTATATAGACAGAAAAGAAATAGTTGAGTGCAGATTTCTTATAAAAGTTCTTTGAAAATAATAGAACTAATTAAAATTAGGGATCATTCACTAACGATAAATGGATTAATGTTATTTGTATTCTGAACTATTGTAAATAAATACTCAATCAAATTGATAAATTTGAAAGTGATGTAGAATTTGCCAGATAAAAGATTAATTCTAATATTAATCCAATGTCATATTATAAAGATGAAAGAATGGTAAATCCTTAATTTACTGTAAATACTTAATTCAGCTTTAAATTTAAAGTATCTAATAAATTAGAACCCATTGTTTATGAATATAAAAAAGAAGCTGATGATAGTATGCTTGATGGTGATTATTTACACAACTTCTTTTTTGAAATCACTTATAATATATAGAAAGGTACTATACCAAATAATCCATATCCTGTGGCATAATTATAATAAAAATATGTCGAAGAAGTAGTTAAAACTATCGAGGCTATTTATTATGATAATTACATAATTCATATAAATAACTTATGTTAATATCCTGAATTTAAAGTTGCTCAATTGAGTGGATCAGATAATATAGATTATATCTAATTAAAATCTAAATTAACTAAGGAAAATTTCAGAGAATATAGAGAATTACATTATTGTAATAATTTTTACTTAGATTAAACTATTCAAAATCTAGAAATTTATAATAATCTATTGCAAGATAATCAAGAAGTTAATTCCTTAAAGATACTCAAAGAATTAAGGGAAGGTATAGTTTTAACTGAAAGTGGTGACAGTGAAGTAAAAGTACGCATCTGTGAATAAGATTGGTTATTATATAGTTCAAGAATCAGACCAGACATCAAATTGAAGTATTAGGATAAATTATATCGTAAATAATTAAATTATATATTTTAGCTGTTCCTTACAGTAACTATTAACCAAGATAAAGAAATACTTAATATAAATAAAGCATTTAAGTTGATTAATCATTCCCAGAACTATTTCCAATTGTTAATTTATAAGTTTATTAATATATTCCTGATGTAATGACAGATGAACAATTCAATTAAAAATATGATCAATTATCTATCATTTAATAAGCTTGTGTAAGAATTATATATAAATTTTAGTATGATTTGAATTCATATGCTTAATCTTTGGATGATTTCCTCACTCAATCACCTAGTGAAGAGGAATTATAAAGCTTAAGGGATGTTGCCCCATAAATAGTATCTTGGCCATTAATCAGAAGTAAAGTAAAGAGAGAAAAAGGATTTACAGAAGAATATAAATTTGTTCATTCACCAGAAGCTCATCCTCTTTATATGATAGAATACTTATTTAAAGCAGTCTAATTATAATTGGATCATGCACTCAAATTCACATTCAATGTTTTATCCTTTACTGAAATTATCTTATTCAAATTGACTAGAATCCTTTAATAAACAACAGGAAAAAGTAAATTTAAATTTAAATTATTTTTAGGATGCAAATTGTCAACTACAACAAGTATATTAAGTGAATGGGCATTATTAAAAAAGATTCTATTAAAAATTGGAGATATGATATTAGAAAATGAATTAGATAAATTTAGATTCTATTATGTAGAAATTAATGAAGTTCATTAAAATTCTGTAATAATTTAATAATTATATAATAATAGGTCTTCTCCATAAAATCAAATAAATTAGAAGGAATGGATGCTATATTTAGATTTGGTTAGACTTAATTCTTTGTTCATTCAAATGTTTTGATTATTAGATTAAATGTTGCAGTGGTTTCAGAGAATGCTTCTTCTTTGATTAATTAAAAGAATGCAAAATTAAGAGCAAATGAATTATGTCCACTTCTATTTAAGGAAGATAAAGAACTTAGAGTAATAAATAAAATAAATATATTTTAGGGATATATGAATTACATAATAACCTTGGAGGATATGCTTAAGTAAATATTTACCAAAAAGTGATAAAATATATATCAATCAATTATATTAGATAAACTAATTAATAATTATTATATAAAATGTTTAGAATTGGACGAATATTCCCTATATCAGTTCCACCTGCTCATCCAAATCCATTCACAAGAGTATTTTTTGATGTTGATGTAGGTGGTAATCCTTTAGGAAGAATAGTATTTTAAGTATTTATTTCATTAATAAAATAGCTCTTTGATAATGTTGCTCCAAAGACTGCCACAAATTTTATGAGAATTGCATAAGGAGTTTAAGTCGATGGAAAGAAACTTCACTATGAAGGTTCATAAATCAATAAGATTCTACCATTCAGAGGAATATGGGGTGGTGCATTAGGTGGATCTATCTATGGAAGAACTTTCCCTGATGAAAATTACAGAATTAAACATGATAGAGCAGGATTACTTACAACTTCTAATCCTAAAATCAATAGCAATGATTCTGGATTCATCATTACTTTAGGACCTGCTGAATGGTTAGATAGAAAATCAATCGCTTTTGGAGAAGTTATCTATGGATTTTAACATGTCAGAGCTATTGAAAAATTAGGTATTTTTATTCATTATATTTTTTATTAGGTGGATTATCTGGTGCTCCTAAAAAGTCTGTCGTTATTAAACACAGTGGAATCATAACTGAACATGAATATCATAAATACGATGTAATTGTAGAACCAAATATTTGGAATTTGTAAAGTCATCATTGATACATATTCAATAACATAATAATATCAAAAAGCAGCTCTCCTTTGTTTAATTCATTATTTCTTATCTTTCTCTATATCCATCTAATTAATTTACCTATCCAATCTAACTAATGCTAACATATAATCACTTCTCAAAAATATCTATCCATTTCATTATCATCTTAATATTTTTTATTTTTTATATTATTTCTCCATTCCTACTTTAAATCTTTTATTCAATAACCATTATATTTTAACAACCCATGTAAAATAATAATATAAATATTAGCTTTATCAAATTCAAATTATTGGCTTTATCATTTCCTATTTACTACAACTACTCTCACATATTAAGACCATTTCATTTCAACAGTAACTCAGCTTTTCAAAAGTATTATATATTTTTTATATTATACAAAATTAACCTTATTCTATACAAAAATAATCACCTTAAAATTGTAATTATTTCCTATCATAATGATAAGGCTTATATATATTTTATCATTAAAATATATGACATCTTATTCAAATTTTTTTGGTAATTTTATTATAATTTTTGCTAATAAACTCATCAGTTTTTAAATAATAAGAGTTAAGCCAATCCAAAAATGAATCTTACTTTTAATCTATTATTTTGAATTCAAGAAATCAATATAATTTATGGTGTTGTTTCTAAAATTTGATGGAAAATAGAAATAAAAAGATTGATGTTTATAAGATGATTAAATATTCAATGGTTTTAAAATTATTTTAATAAATATAAATTCAGTAATATTATTATTCACTAATTTCATTTTCAATGTCATATCTTTTCCATTTATTTATTCTATTCATTCTAATTTCATCCTTTGTCATTTCGTCATCCTCAGTCTAATCTTAAGCTTTCATCTTTATAGTAGGGATTTATCTTCCATTTTTATAAACTACTGAATCTAGTTGTATTCTCACTATTCTATTTAATATATATACATTTNATCGCTTTTGGAGAAGTTATCTATGGATTTTAACATGTCAGAGCTATTGAAAAATTAGGTATTTTTATTCATTATATTTTTTATTAGGTGGATTATCTGGTGCTCCTAAAAAGTCTGTCGTTATTAAACACAGTGGAATCATAACTGAACATGAATATCATAAATACGATGTAATTGTAGAACCAAATATTTGGAATTTGTAAAGTCATCATTGATACATATTCAATAACATAATAATATCAAAAAGCAGCTCTCCTTTGTTTAATTCATTATTTCTTATCTTTCTCTATATCCATCTAATTAATTTACCTATCCAATCTAACTAATGCTAACATATAATCACTTCTCAAAAATATCTATCCATTTCATTATCATCTTAATATTTTTTATTTTTTATATTATTTCTCCATTCCTACTTTAAATCTTTTATTCAATAACCATTATATTTTAACAACCCATGTAAAATAATAATATAAATATTAGCTTTATCAAATTCAAATTATTGGCTTTATCATTTCCTATTTACTACAACTACTCTCACATATTAAGACCATTTCATTTCAACAGTAACTCAGCTTTTCAAAAGTATTATATATTTTTTATATTATACAAAATTAACCTTATTCTATACAAAAATAATCACCTTAAAATTGTAATTATTTCCTATCATAATGATAAGGCTTATATATATTTTATCATTAAAATATATGACATCTTATTCAAATTTTTTTGGTAATTTTATTATAATTTTTGCTAATAAACTCATCAGTTTTTAAATAATAAGAGTTAAGCCAATCCAAAAATGAATCTTACTTTTAATCTATTATTTTGAATTCAAGAAATCAATATAATTTATGGTGTTGTTTCTAAAATTTGATGGAAAATAGAAATAAAAAGATTGATGTTTATAAGATGATTAAATATTCAATGGTTTTAAAATTATTTTAATAAATATAAATTCAGTAATATTATTATTCACTAATTTCATTTTCAATGTCATATCTTTTCCATTTATTTATTCTATTCATTCTAATTTCATCCTTTGTCATTTCGTCATCCTCAGTCTAATCTTAAGCTTTCATCTTTATAGTAGGGATTTATCTTCCATTTTTATAAACTACTGAATCTAGTTGTATTCTCACTATTCTATTTAATATATATACATTTATATGAATTCTGATTTAAACATTATTCACAAACAATCATATTTTGAATTTTTGGGGCACAGCCAAGATGATAAAGATGACTACATCCCATAAAAGCCAATATTTATTAATTTCTAATTTCAAAGCAAGTTTAACATTATGGATTGAAATTAACACCAATCTATTGTAAATTATATAAACTCATTAAATTTTTCATATAATCCATTTATAGTACTTTTATTAATTACTATTAATTATAGAGTTCAAAAGAACAAGAAGACAATAATTTACTAAATGATCTTCTCAACTCTTCTAAATGAGTAAAAGATCCAAATAATATTTTTATATTTATAATTATTTAGTAAAGATGAACTCTTTCTAACAATTCTTCCAGCATCACTTAATATACATTATTCAAGGATTTAAAGATATCCTTATTATATTTAAATTCTTCCCTTAATTAAACCATTCGAATAACAAGAGTAAACCAATAATTAGTACTGTCTTCTTCATTTGAATTATTATCTCTACAGATTTTTAAGCATGGTAAAATTAAAATTTAAATCTACTCTATTTAACTTTGTTAATCATATTCAATTACTTACATCTTCTTTAATTCAGTACTTATAATCTAATCAATAATTAGTATATATAAATTACATCAAAATACAAATTCAAAGCTTCCATATAACGTCCACTTCTTTCCTTTAAAAATGCTACCCCTTTCATTATTTTGTATTCCTAACATAGCTTTAAACATTCATCTTAAGGGAAATCTCCGTGTTATAATTATTCATATGCATCTTTTTGATGATATTAACATATTAATTTAAAAAAGGAAATCATTAATTTATCTTCAACTAATAACTTATTATTTCTTTTCTCTTAAATAATCTCTGAAAGTAATTTCAATTTTAAATCTGGATGACTATCCAACATTTCTATGGCTATCTTATAATCCTCTTCATTATAATATTAAAGTATCTTTCGTAATTTCTCTGCACAAATACTTACCTATAACATAATCATCATTTACTCTTACCAATTATGGAACTATGCTCAATACATATTATAAAATTTCATTTCTAACTTTACAATACTAATTTAAATTTATCATCTACTCAATATAATCAAATATGAATATCTATATAAATTATATATACACTTACTTTGTCTTCTTCAGAATTTGAAGTCAACAAACCTTATAAACAAAATTGCCATTAATCTTTTATAAAATATAATTAGGATTTTACTCTAATTGATTAAACTTCAGAACAAGAGGATTCCTGTATTAATATAGAAATTGTTTCTTAATCATTTATTAATCTCTATTTAAACTGATTTATATAGTCAATAAAAACAGAATCTCTAATATTTCTATTAATATCCTATTGCTTTAAATACTCAAGATTTTGAAATCTTAGATTACTTTTTTCAACTAATGTTTATAAAGTTACATAAGGATCCTTAAAGTGGAATTTAAGAACATTTAAAAAGTGTTCATATTTAATCTTATATCCTAATTTCATTATTTCATAAACAAATGTGCTTATTTAATTTTCAATGTTTAATATCTTTGATGATGCTTCTAACAATAGAACAATAATTTCGGATAAAGTTAGATCATCCACTTATAATTAATCTCCTGCAATAGTAATTTTAAGTTATTAAAGTTATTCATATTTATCCTTCTCTGTAAATATGATTAATAGTTCATTTAAAAAAATAGGAGCATCAATTTTAAGAAATTCTTCTAGAGTATCATATTGTAGTAACCATGATAGGATTTCAGCTAAAATAGAAGCCCATTGTTCCTCTGGAATTTTTTATTATGGAAATAATTCTCCAATCAATAACATATGAAGATTCCATAAACATTTATAACCTAACAATTAGATCTCTTTATCTATCATCTATTTATTGTTAGTCATTTCCATTTAAATTGATTTGAAATACTTCTCTAAAGATGATTAATCTCCTTTAACCAATTATCTAAATACTGCATACATTTTGAATAGAGGGGTTTTATAATCTTCATCAACCCTTGGAGATATGTAAATTAAAAGTGTAAATAGATTATTTTCTATACATAATTATTAGACTATGATTGGATCCAACAATTTTATATCTAAATTAATAATTAACTATTTCAAAATATTTAATTTGCTCTTTTAGTTGATTAAATATATCATAATATCTTTCAAAGTATCATCAGGAATAAATTTAATAGTATTCTTTAATATAAATGGTTCTAAACAATTATAGAACTACAATTCTAAATTATTGTTTTTAAGAATAGATTTAATTTCTCTAAATAAATATTAGTATGATTCAATTGTAACCATAAATTCAATGACTGTTGGAATAAGATCACCGATAGTTTTATGAGAAATACTAATTTCAACAAATTATTTAAGTCTTTCATTAAAATAAGGTCTTAAGAATTCTTATCTACCATTTCTTGGTAACCCAGCAAATTTTAATTATTTTCCCAAATATAAATATAAACATAAACCCATACATTCTGTCCACATAAGATTAGATATCAATTATTCAATATAATCTTACCAGGTTATTAATTAATAATGTATAATATTTTATTATTAATGCCCATTCTCTTCAATTTAAATATAATATAATTGATTATGATTTTAACAAATTGTATTTTAAAATGATTAAATTTTATCATCACCTATTTATTAATCAGCAACATCATATTATAATTATGATTAAACAACTAAAACATTGTTATCAGCAATCTCTGAAATAGCTACTAAAGAATACTTCTTACGATCATTTTTTAATATTAAAATATTATCACTCATCCAAGCTAAAAATTAAATATCATCATTTAAAGTATATGTATAAAGTAATTCAAAATTAGTAATAAATCTTCCATCCTTATTTTCGTAATTCATTTTTAAGATTTCAATGTCTTTACCATTGCTAACAGCTAATATAGGTTATTCACTTTCAATTTACCATTTTGCACATAAAAGTTAACGTTTTTTAACTTCATAAGATTTTTTAAAAACTAAAAATATTTTAGGTTCAACAATGGCAATTAAAACCGTATTTTTATATACAAATACAACAATTTATACATCTTTATTTCTCATAGATTCACAACAATGACAAATTCCAAAAGTAGTATCATTTAGAAGTGGATTCTTTTCTATTCCATAAGCAAACAAATTCTTTCTTATTTTCATTAAATTAACTTTACCAAGTGAATCACAAACTAAGAATTAACATACAAAATCTTTATTTCCAATTAACATATTCATAGTAATAGGTATACCTTCAGTCATTTTTTAAAAAGCTTTACAAAATTTATTCTTATTGTATAATAGAATTTACTATTAAGAGATAGCAATCAAAAATTGTCCATCCTCATTGAATCTTAAACATATGATAGGGCATATAGTAATACTAGGATCTGATTCTAATTTTACTATTTTATCACTAATTAAATAAATAAACCCTTTTGTTGTTCCTATTGCAATTGTTGTACCAAAACATGTAATGCATTTAATTCTAAAGTCATTTTAAAATATTGAAGAATAAAGATCTTTTAGTTTACGATCCATTTTAACTTCTTAAAATGTATTATTAGCTTGTTTTTAACTCTCATAATGTTGCATTAAATCAGAATCCTCAATTTCTTTTTAAGTCACTAAATAAGGTTCTTTTTCTAATTAATCCACGTAATCTAAGATGTATGGAATATGTTTAATCTGCTCAGTTTACTTAATACTTTCTCTATTACTAGTAGGATATTCTCCTAATATGAATTAATGTAATAGTTTATCAATCTCATCATTAGTATACTAATTTTCAACCTATATTTCGGGTTAAATTGAAATTTTTGGTTATATCTATTAATCCTTTACAAGACTTGGTCTTCCTATTAATAATTCTTCAATGTCATTGAATTATTCATATTCATGAAATTTCTAAGGTTATTATTCATTGATTATGTCTTCTAGAATTAAATGCTGATCAGCAACAATTTCATCTTTATACATGTATAATTTATAATAAAAAAATGCATAAAAAACTAAATAAACATATTGAATATATGTCAATTAAATTTTACAAAAAATTAATATAAAAAAAGATCAAATTCTAACAATTAGTAATGCATTTATAATATTTGAGAGTCCCTAAATTATGATAGTTTAAATATTTGTGAAATATATAAATTTTCAATCATTTTTTTGTTAAAGCTCCTTTCTTCTAAAATTGATTATAAGTATTTGAATTGTAAATGATATTTAAGTTTTAAATCTTTATAGATTATTACATTTAAAGTTATTGTTGACTAAATTATGATTATCCTGATGCTTTCATTTTATTTGTTTCTGAATTCATATTCAACTTCTACTCTTTAAATCCAGGAACCAATTTCTCTATTGACTACTAAATGTTAAGATCAATCATTTACTGCTTTTTTCATTTATTTCCCTTCTTTTTCTTATTATTGTTACCCTTAGATATTATAATTATAAGCTGTATTTTACATGTTCAATTAATTTCCCAAATAATTAGGTACTTTAAAACTAGTCTAAATTAATTAAATTATAAGAATAAAATACTTTAGTTCTAATAACATTTTATTAGGTATTAGGAGATGCGGCAGTTCGATGAACACCTGCACTTACTTATCTTTTTTCTTAATCATTCTACATTTCTAATTCTCTCATGAATTCAATAGCTTCTGGTAAGTCTTCAAAATATTAATGACGAAGTGCTTATTTGCAAGTTAAACGTTCAGCAGGTTCCATTTTTAATAATCCTTTAACAAAATTAATAGCTTTTTTAGGTAATTTACAAAGATATCTAAAAATGGTAATTATCTTTAAAATTACCTTTATTCTAGGGTTTCAGGTTTAGATATTTCTGGAAATTTCATACCTAAAAATCTAGGATTTTTTGAGAATGTTTCTTATTAACTTTATGTTAATGGTCCTAACATTTTTTAAATGAGATATAATTGATCCATTTCATTTTCTCCTGGAAATAATGGATTACCATCAGTTAATTCACATAACAAACATCCAATAGCCCTAATTTAATATATAATATTATACCACATATCCACTCCTTTATCATAATTAGAGTAAGATAGTAAGAGTTCTGGAGCTCTATACCATCTTGTAGCAACATAATCAGTAAGATCTTAAGTAGATGCAGTTAGTGACTAGATAAAAATGAATTTGACTATAATACCCTAGCAAAACCAAAATCACATAACTTTAATTAATGAGTAGTGCTTATCAATAGATTTTCTGGTTTGATATCTCTATGAACAATATCATTTTAATGACAGCAATATATTGCTTTAAGCAACTGAAATATTATTCTCTTAATATACAATGGCTATTATTATAATAATACTTAATACTTCTAATCCTGAAGAAGATGCCTCAAGAACTTCAAGTAGATTACGCTCCACATACTCAAATACTAAATAGATTCTCCCTTTTCTAATTAACTTCCCACATCATACTACCTTTTGAATGCTTCCTTTAATTCTACTATGTTAGCATGTCTTAACAATCTAAGTACTTTCACTTCTCTTTATATACTCTTTTTTACTATTTCATTCTCTTCAGTTTCTTTAAACTTCTTGATCGCCACTATATAATTAATCTATTACTGATACCAATCTCATTTGTCTCCTTATTTTTACATTTTAGAACAACACCATAAGCACCTTCTCCAACTACTCCTAATACTTCGTATTTATTCATTAATTAAATGAATTATTCAAAGTGTTCATCTTGTAATCAAAACATACCTATACTCAATTGTAAAACGTGCTAACTCATTTTATGTTTCTTTTGTGATGAAAATCTTCATTCTTAAAAACATAATCATTTAACAACTACTTTAATATTTTCATCCTAATTTCCAACTTAATCTTATCAAAATAATCTAAATCAAACCATTTAAATCAAAAAACTAGAGCTTTAGTAACTTAAAGATAAAGAGCAGTAAATTGCTAAAAATTATCAAGATAAAATGTTACAAGCTTAAAAAAAATATGAATAACAGATTAATTTACTCGAACAAAGATGTATCATTTATGTCCATACTTTTTAGTATAATAAGCATCTACATTTATGGATCAAATGTAGAATCAAGTTGAAGATCTCGATGTTGATAAAATGTAAAATGAATTAGAAAGTTTAGATAAAAGTTTGAAAATAGATATAAAAAAGGCAGAAGAAGAATAAACTATTCTTTTAGAAAAAACACAAAAAGTTGATTAACTTCTTGAAAGATTAAAAAAAGCAACAGATATAGAATAATAACAAATTTAAAAAATGAATGAAGTATTAACAGTTTTTAAAGCTTGTTCTGAACAATTACAAAAAGAAAAAGTATATCTAATTAATCCATTCTTATCTAGGATTTGTTAATGTTGGATAATGAAAAGCTTATTGGAGAAGTTGAAATTTTTGCTAAATTTTTTGATGAAAATGGTGCCCTCTTAGAAGAATTAAGTAAAGGAAAAAATGAGTAATTATAATAATGACAATTATTTTGAAATATTGCTAAAAAGAAAAGCTCCTTATACAATCTCCATAAGTGTTAATTTTTTTTCTTAAATAATTTAAAGAGAATTTATTTATTATTAATCAAATTTTAGCTCGAAGATATTAACCATCTTTATAAAATAATTGATCAATTTAAGACAAATTAACTTTTTATTTTTATCTTTTAAAAATTCTATTTTAGTTTTACTCTTATAGATAAGTACTGGATTAAATATACTTATAATCTAAATGTAATATTTTTTCAGCCTTATATCATTAACAAAATTAACTGATTCATTAATAGAAACTTATGCGATTGAATACCATTTAAGTCGAATAAAGCAAACATTCAAAAATTTGAATGATAGTAATGTTAAAAATATTAAATTAGTATACCTATATTTATTAAGAGACTTTTAATTTTATAATAATTTTTGTAAGTTTTTTATTTATATTTATCAATAAATTCCTTAATAGCTATTGCTTATATCAAAAATACAGAAGAAAAGCACATATATTATAAATGAAAATATCAAGGTATTCATTAACCAAAAGATTTAAAAAAAATGATAAATGAATTATAATCTAAGGAAAAATAATTTAAAACTATCCAAAGATTTGATAATCTATGATTATGATAAATCGAATAAACTTTTCCAACTAAGTTTAAGACCCAAAAATAATTAATTTTTAATTATAGCAAGCAACTACTTATATTTAATACTTTATAATAGAATTAAGAAGATTATTTAAGTAAAATAAATTATAGAAACTAAATTTTTTATGAATATAAGATTGTAAGTCGATAATTTAGAATAAAATATAAATAATTTTATAAAGTTTATAGAAATTAGGAAAAATAAGAAATTTTAATTGATTAAATTTATAGATGTATAAAAAACAAATAACGAAAATGGATTGAAAAATTAATCACAATTAAAAGAGTTTGAAATTTAATGATTTTAACAAAAAAAAAGTATTTCTTTAATAATAATTGATATTAAATATTTTCGATGATTATAATCATTAATTAAATTAATAAGAAGAAGAGAGAATGGAATAATAAACTACTTACCAAGCTTAATTAAATTCTATGTTGGAATTGAAGAATGTATTTTTGATAAAACCTCGTTGTAAAGAATCTGCAGATATGAAGATTGCAATAGATTATTCTCCAATGTATAGTGAGTAAGTTTAATTGTTAAGTTAAGAGTATTAGGATGTTAGCTAAATACTGTGCCCATATTTAATAATGATGGGGAGCCATCTTAAAATGGATTCATCCTTCAGATAGATTAGGTATTTAATTTAAATAATTAAAAGCCTGTGCATTTAGCGAATAGTATTCACTATAGATGTCAATTTGAGAAAAAAGTCTAAGAAGTTTAGGAAAAGAACAAGAATTTAGTAAATTTATAAAGTAAAATTTAAAGCTTTTCCCAAAACCAAAGGGAACTAAAATCTATTGTAATATTTGCAAATTATATATAGAGGATTATCTCTAAGTAAATATAAAATAATAATAATGTAGCATACATAATCTAAAAGCCACAATTAAAAGTTTAGGAATAACAAAGTCATCAATCTCATCCATTCTATGGCTGATGAATTTTAGAAGAATCGAAGTATGCCTTAAATTACACCGACTCTTCATTCCAATTCTGATAGATGTGGTTATATCTCTTCCATCTAGGAGGATAGCGTTGAACATTAAGACAGCACTTAGTCAGAACCACATACTATTAAGAAGACTAAGTTGAATGAAGATGTCAACGCTTTCAACAAGATGGGCAACTCGTAAAATAATATTTTTCTATTTTTTAGTCTTGTACATAGCTCTAACTAATCATTCAACGATAAATACGGAAAGTAGTATCTTTGATGAGAGGATTATGAGCAGCACAATATATATATATATATATAAAAAAATTATCATCCTAAAAATTAAGTTATAAACTCCAAGTTTGGAATATTTAATTATATATCTCTTGGATTTAAATGCTTATGTCTCTACATACAAGCTTCTAGTGAATTTATTTATGGTTATAACTTTATGAATTACCAAACATTATAAAATTTATCAAATGCTTCTGTTATATCCTTTTCACTATATTAAAATTATTTTTTTGAATTTATTTATTCATTTTTTGTATTTAAAGCAAGTAATAAACAACAAATTGCATAAAGTTACCTTTCAATAATCAGTTATTCATATCCCATAATAAAAAAATCACAGAAAAAATAAGATAAAATTGAAGATTCATTTGAAATCTTAAGTGTAGAATTTATTATTTTTAAAAACTAAATAGGTGTTCTGTAAGTTAAATTATAATCTAAAATTTAAAGAATTTGTTATTCCATCTCAATAATTTGTTTTTCATTATATTCATCTGCAGTTATATAAGCATATGCATTACAATTCTCTTACTTAAAATATTCTTTAGATCTTTCATTATAAACACTAAATAATAATATTAAATATTTACTCAGCTAATTTTAAGGAAGTAACACCAATCAACTATAAATTTTTACGATTGATTTTCATTATTGATAAAACTAAATCTATGTAAATTATTGATAAATGTAAAGTTTCATCAAGTAATTCAAAATGAATACATACATCAATTAACCAATCTATTAAAGTACTACGCATTGTCTAATTAATTTCAGTTTAGAATTCCAAATATTCTTTAAATTTAGGTTCTTAATAGCTAATCAATGTACTTTCACTACTTTTAGAATTTAAAAAAGGATGCTTAATTATTTCAGTTATATCTAATCTGTTTTCTGGTTTGATAGATAATAATTTTTATAATAAATCTATTCCATTCTTATCTAATATCTTATTAAGAGTAACTAATTTTTCATAAATTTATTTTCTATTTTAAACTATGTCTATTATTTCGCTTTTATTTAAATCATTGATGGATAGACTATATTTCTTCCATTAAGGAAATTTTATTCTAACATCTTCTGAAATTGAATTCCAATCATTTTCATCTGGTGATCCTAAAAATTAAAATACTTCAAATAAATATTCAATTTCCGTTTTACCACTAAATAATGGACTTCTTAAAACCATTTCTCCTAAAATACATCCTAATGACCAACTATCAATTTCACAACTGTAATATTATTTTCTAAATAACATTTCAGGTGCTCTATACCATAATCTTTTAACTTCTCTATTTGATCTTTCTCTTTCTTTTGGATCTTCTGGTGTATAAGGTATTATTGGAAAAGTTTCTAATCTTGACATTCCAAAATCTGAAATTTTAACTAATTTATTAACTATGAAAATATTATCTGGTTTCAAATTACGATGTAATATATGATTCTAATGTAAATATTCTACTCCTCTACATATCTATAAAAAAAGGGACTTTATCTATTCTATTGATAACTCAGTCTATTTTAATTATTCTCTTAAATTCAAAGGATAATATTCATATAAAATTTACACAATGTGATTGTTAATTTTTACTTAAATTATAGATGCTATATTAGAATGAGGCTTTAATGATTTTAAATAAGAAATTTCTCTTAGAACTGATGTTTAATATCCATCATTATGATTTGCATTTGCTTTTATTGTGTCTAGTTCTCTAAGTACAAATTATTAATCAGTCAATCTATTGCACACTTAATATAATTTTCCTTTCGATCTTCTCTCTTATAAAAATTTGAACTTTTAATATAAGTCATCAAATTACAAAGGATTGTATCTGTTATAAAACTAATCATTATATATTTATAATACATTCCAAAATTATTGATTTATCAATTACATATACTAATGGTTAAGTGTTCTAATGAGTTTATTAATTTCTTTTGGTTTTAAAAAAAGGAATAATTTATAAAGCAGATCTTTTGGAAGCAAAAACTTTTATTTTACTTTCTACTCTCCTTTTTTATTTGATGGAATTTAAATTATAATGTTCTCTTTCCCTTTTTAATTTTCGAATTCTCTTTTTTTTTTTAACAGCATTATTATTAATTTATTAATATATTTTATAGTATTTACATATAATGTAACAGATGCTCATACTTTTTGATTATATAAAATTATTATTGTTTTTATTATTTAATTGATTTTGTCACCTTTTTTGTAGTATTACTCATTATCAAAAACTTTAAGTTAATTTAAAAGATTATTAAAATCTTCCAAATTCCCCTCCTTACTCAAATGCCCTAAAAAACTTAATAAAATAATTGAAATCACAAAACTTGAATCAATGAAATACATTTTTTTCTACAAAATCCTAAAATTCTTTTTAAATTAATTCAAAGTATTTAAAATCAAATAAAGTCATAAAATGTTTCATTAAATAGTTTTAAAAATATATATACCATTTTTCAGTAACAACTCTAAATGATAATCTAAAGTTAAATATATTAGAGTAGTTAAAATAATCTTTAGATTTAATATGAATACTTTAAAAAATCTCTTTTGTTGGATTAAGATAATTTATGAGTTTGCCTTTTTTAAATTCTAAAAATAAAAATTTCTACCTAAGATTACTAAGCCGAATATGAGAAGTCTAAAGTTCATATTTTCAAAATAATTAATAACATCAATTAGAATATATTATAATTTTTACTCTAAATGAAGATTATAAGTGCTATCATAACAAAAAACATTTCAAATAAATAATTATAACATCATAATTTATTTAAATTAAATCATTGCTAGTTAATAATAATTTAATTGTTTAATATCTTCAATTTTAATTTTTATCATTTAATTTTATTTTAGAAAATGCAAAAAAATATAATAAAATCAAAAATTTTAATCTCCTCAAAATTTCTAATAAATATTTTTTTTTTGATGAATTCTGATCAGCATTATTTAATCTCTTTTTTATACTATTATGTTATCATTTACAATTTTTATAATAAAACAAATATAAACTAATTAATAAAGCTATTTTCTAATTATATATAAATTAATAAATCTTAAAAATAGGTTTTTTTTAAGTTAATATATAATTTTTAGGTAATAATCTTTAATATTGAAGATTGAAAACCATCTTATTATTAAATTAATGAAATATCAGAAATAATTAAGTATATATACAAAATAATCAAATTATTATCAAGTTTTTTATCAATTTTATAAATAATTCAGAAGCAAAGTTGCTAAATTGCTTTATTTATCTTGCCTAAAGTCTAAAGTATGATTTCTTTTACAAAGTATTATAAGATCTTAATTTGTTATTTAATTGTTTTCTTTTTAAACTTAAATACATAACAATCTAGTCACAAATAATTACCAATGATACAATAATTGCTTCATACATTATGGATACTATTAAAGATATTCAAGTTATTGAAACTATAATATTTACTTTGATATATCTAAATATTTACTAAAATATTACCTTATACATCAGTTTTTAGTATTTTTAAAATATTTTAATTTGATTCTAAGATTTGAATCATCAATTCTATAATTGATGCTTCTTCTCCAGGTTAAAGCAATCTAGAACTTCCAACACCAAACATTTAATTAATGTCTCTTAAATAAACAATAATATTACTTTTTTATAATATTTTAATTTAATTTTGTTGAAGGATACCAAAAGGTTTTATCTTCCATTATTTGCTTTTTTAAAATTGGACTCATTTTAAGAAGCCATTCTTATGCTTATTAATTTTTTTTTTCAATCAAATGAGTCTCTTCAAGAACTATTCTTCTTACTAACTCTCGTTATTAAGTAATATTTAATTCAAATGGTAATGTCTAATAAATTTTTAATAGAGATTCCTTAAGAATCTAAATTCCTGATTTATACTATAAGACATCTAAAAAAGAATCGTTATTATTATCATTTTATTCAGGTTCTGTAAATACTCTGCATTTAGGAGTTGAATATTTATTAGTTAATGATTTCGATATTCCTAAAATCATATTTTTTTCAAATTAATCTTAAGAATTATCAATCTGAGGATTTATTTTTAATTTGCTTGGAGTTATTGAACTATTTCTCTTTTTTTTAGTTATTTCATTCACAGATATCAAGTAGAAATTCTTTTTTGGTTGAGATTTATTTCTATGAATAACTTCTGGGATATCTTTGTTTTTTAAAGGTGAAACCCAAAAACTATCAGATTTTTGAGTTTTTTAGTTTTATGTTTTAAGACCAGATTTAGGTCGCTTATAAAATTTACTTTAGAGTATTGATCTGACTCTATTTGGAATAGCCTAATTTCCTTCTTAAGGTTTATATACATTGATTCCTTAACTTTAAAGTCTGTTGATATAACTAAGTTGCATTTAATTAAATTTTTTATAAATAATAATTTACAAAATACATAATAAATCAATGAGAATAATTATTACTTGGTAGTATTCTAGAATTATTTGATTGTTGTATTTAAGGAAAAATAATTCTATTAAAATTTAGAAATTAACATAAAAGTGTAAAATATATCTTTATCATAGTTTATATGAAAATTAATCATTAAAAGTTTTATCTTATGATACATATTAAATAACATTATGTATTTAAAATCTTATTAATGGTCTCCTTTCTATTTCAAAATGATACACATTTAATTTAATAACATTTGGTCACATTGAATTTTTATGAAATAATTTAGTTTCATGCATGATTTCTTTAATATTTACATTCCAGAAAAAAAAGAAACAGCACAGCAACATTATCTGAGAATTTATTAAAATTAGATTCGCATCTTGATTTTAACTATTTACATAGATAGTTTGGTTTAGATATATAAAAAAATTATGATTTAAAATTTTATTATAGGTAAATTTTCGATGATAATTTGATTAAATTAAAGATAAATTATTTATTTATTTATTCTTATGATGATTAAATTTATTATTCTGATAAAGATATATAAACAATAAGATAATTCAAGGATTAGTATATTTTAAATAAAATTTTAGTAAATTTAAAATTTATTAGTTTTATAATAGCTTTCTATCTAATGGCATATTTTCTATGGCTATAATTTATTATTAATATTTTGTTTCATACAAATTGATGTTTCAAAAAGTTTATATCTATAATCTTAAAATATTTTATATCTAATCTTCTAAACTATTTGCTTATTTGCAAATTGATTAATAAAATATTGAAGATAAATTAAATTAAGTATCCTAAGAACATGAAAATCATAAAATGCCTGAACATTTTGAAGAATAAAAAAAGATCTTAGAAGATTTCACTAATTTGTTAAATAAAAAGAATGAATGATCTTTATATTTGTTATAATTTATAATATTGGAGAGCAATAAACTTAAATAATACTCATTTTAATTCAACAATATCTTCATATTTAGTGTCTGAATGCCTTTATTAATCCTTATGCCAAATAGCCATATCATCGTCTTCATCATCTTAGAATTTCTATTAAAATTATTATTAGGCTTTCTTATAAATTAAATCTGAACTTTATTGTTTAGCTTATAATTAATCTTATTCTAATTCTTTTTCTACAATATTTGGATCTCTCCAATGTTAAGGCATAGACCAAACCTTTATGACTTTATCTTTTGCAGAAGTCAAAAGTGTTTAATCAGCATCAAGCCATTATAATTTAGTAATATCAGAATCATGTGCTTTTAATACATCTAAATTAAATATGATATAGATTACATAATTATTTAGATTTTCGAGCATCCCAAATAGTAACAGTACCATCAATATTTCCTACATAGATTTCTCCCCTTTTTGCTGACCAACCAATTTCTCTACTCTTTGATTTTCCATTTAATTAAGCAACTTCTTTAGAATATTACTCTCTCCCAGGTAATTATATATCAATAATCAAAATAACTCCATTCTCATGACTAATTGAAAATAAATAATTTCTTTAATTATCTATGAAAAATCCTCTAATAAATAATTAAGTAGTTGGAATTTTGATGATTAATTTAGGTTTTTTCTAATTGAATGTTATAAATGAAATACTTTTTCTATATCATATATAAATATTTCTCCATGTCTATCTCCAACAAAAGTTTTCTTTCTTTCATCACTCCCTAACAAACATGTTAATTCATATTAACCAGGTTCAATATCTAAAAATATTAAAAATAAAAAAAACCTTCTACTAATATTCCTTTTCTTAGATTTAATATTCTATATTTTCTGTCTTTAGATACTGAATGTAAATATTTTCTCTTTGTATCATAATACAATCCCATAACTCTATCTGTATGTTGTTCAATTTCCATACTCTCAGTAAATTTCTTATACCCTTCTTTTTCTGGAACATATAAATAATTAATTGATCCACTATCTAACCCTACCAACAAAACTGAAGCTACAGAATCCCAATAACAAGTGATTGCCTAAGAATTATACATTTTAACCCATAATCTTTAAAATTCTCCATTCTCTTATTATAACCAACATTCAACACATCCTACAGGTATTAATGCCTAATCTCCCTTCTCAGATTCCCATGGAGCTTTCATATTTGTTAAATAAGCATCCAATCTATTTATTACTGAACAATCTGATGTTATTACAAACATCAATCCTTATTCTGAACTTATTGTAAAATCTCTAATTCCATGCAAAAATCCTTTAAATTCGAATATTAACTTTGGAGGATTCACTATAATTTCTTTTGCATTCCTCTCTATTTCTAAGAACTATTTTAATGGTTCTGATGCAACTACTTCTTATCTACTTGCTAAATTCTCATTATAACACTATCATTCTTACTTAAATAAATTCATCTAAACCTGCTTTTCTTTTCTCAATATCTTCAGGTGTCTTACCTACTAAAAATGTTATATATTTCTTTTTTGGAAGTGAAGGCAATTACTCTCCAAAGAGAACTTTTAATTTTTTTGCTAAATCCTCAAATTGTGAAAATCTACTTTCATTCACTCATATATACCTTTTTTCTAATTACCAAACATCACTTGTTTTATTTTTCACCTATATCATATAATAAATAGCATCATCATTTGGATCACTTCTATGTGAAATTATACTTGCCTGATTATTATTATGTATAATTACCGATATTGGAGAATTTGAATCCATATTTTTTTAATAATAATAATAATATTTCTAATTCAATTAATAAATTTTATTTAATAATATTTATATATCAAGATGATATCATTCATAAATTATTTAGAAAATATTAATATGTATTCAAAATAATTTTATAGTTTAGGTATTCTTTCTTTTTATTTTCAAATGTTTTTCAAAAATTATGAGTTTATCATTAGGACTATGGAATTAAACCCTTTATTCTGATTTCAATTTAAAATCTTTAGGTGTTCTTATTGTACTCTATCTTAAAACTCTACATGATTGAATATTGTCATAATTATCTCCATTACTAGAATGCATATGATTATGATCTTTATTGTGTGATGATAGATTTCTGTTGATTTTATTCAAATTTTTAAAACTAGGAGATTAGGTTTATTGAATTGATAGAGTTTAATTTATAGCTTTTTATGATTTGCTGTCTTCTCTAGTCAATTTATGAAAATTATATTTCTTTTCACATTATCCTACTAAAAATGGATTTATAGCTTTTTTTAAATTTCTTTTTTTCAATGCACTTATCTTAGGAGTTTCTTAAAACAACCTTGCTGATTTTTATACATGAAAAGTTTAAGGTTTAATTTCTTCATCTGGAATTATTCCTATTTCAGCTTCAGAATCACTATCATCAGAAGCTTAATTTTCATCTAATTATTAAAAGTACTTCTTATTTAATTCAAGATCTTTGAATATTTTAGATTTTTATTCTTATTACATATGATAGATTTTTAATGATTGATGTAAATCCTTTCCAATTTATGTTAAATCATTTTAAGAAAATTAAATAAATTTATTTTCCTATTTATAACCGAATAATGAAGTTTCAAGAGTAACAATATTATGAAAACTGTTAGGGTTAATCTTCTACATTTAATTATAAACAAATGCTCTTGCAGTTTTCAACTTATAGGATTTTAAATTAAATGTACAAGAATTGAAATCGAAATATTTCGAATTTTCAGCCATAATCATTGGAAGAATTCTACATTCAATTGGATCATCAGAGTTTCTACAAGCATACATAAAAGTTCCAAGTTTTCTGGAATGGCCATGCAAATCAATGAAGGTTTTAATATCTCTTCCCTCATCTAAGATTTTTTGTATAAGATTTTTGATTTAAATGATTTATTAATGAAGTTTAAATCTTGGATTTTACCAGAGTCTATTCAAATCTCTTCCACTTAGATCACATCTAAAATTACCCCATTTAACTCCATCAGGATTAACCATAGGTATTACAATTATGTTATAAAATAATTGTAGTGTTTTATCATTTGATAATGCCTCAAGAAAACCTTAACATACATGAGAAGACACAGTCTCTCCAGGATGTTGTCTTGCTATTACTAAAATAACATCACTTCTTTTGGATCCAAATTACAACATTTTAACAGGTAATCCTGAAAAGGTATTGGCAAGGATTTCAGTTTGAAATTTAAGCAAGTATCTATCTAAATCAAGATGAGAATAAGGAATTCCAAGAGCGATTTCACATGTATTGAATGATTTATTGATCCAGAAAGAGATAGTGTATAATTTATTAGAAATTGTTTTACAGAAATTAGATTTGACATATTCGGATTCTTTAATTAATACTTGAGATTTGAGTACTTCCCAATTAGAATTGATCTTGATGTATACTCCAAAACCATTCTAATACTGAAGATAATTCTTTGTCTGTTGTTTATATATAATAAGTTACCAAATTAATGATGTTAATTCTATATTTGTTATCAGTGGGGTTGGTGATTCGAAAATAAAACCATTAAGAATAGCTAGTGGTATTGAAATCTTCTTGAAGAAGTAAATCATATTCAAATGAATCAACTTGATAAACCGCAGCCAAATTTCCATTGATGAAATTAGAATCAAATAGTAGTTAGTTTTGGGTTTGAGTAATAGTAGGTGTTTACAAGTCATTGAGATTTAATAATTTAAAAAGTTGATTAGTGAGTTTTGATCCATATTATTTCTTATAAACACATTTATATGTTTTTTGAATATCTTCAATGTCATTTGTCACTCCTCTATAGTCTGATTAGTATACTATAGGATTGGGAGTAGGAAGAGAAGCGAATATATATGTAGGTTACTTATCTTATTAAGTTATTAAGGTTTCAATAAAAGCTGATTCAAATCCTTCATCATCCATATTTTACCCGTTTTTGAGAATTAAATAAATTGAGAATCGTATGCCAACACAATAAATATTAATAAATGAAAGCTACACTTGCAATTCTCTTGTTGGTAAGCATTGCTTCTGCAACATCCACCCACGATTAAATCATGGCTCTACTCCAAACTGGTACAAAAGCCATGGATGCTATTGACAGTGTTTATGGTATATTGAATGATCTTGTTCAATCTAACAAAGATGCCTAATTTGCTGCTGATTAAAAGAATGAAACAGATGAATGGGTTGGAGCTTAGTAATTATGATCCTTAATGTTAGAACAATTGAGTAATTCACTAAGATCAAGGCACTCAACTAAAAGCTATTTTAATAATCAGTTGAGAATAGAGTCTAATTTGAATAAGATTTATAAGATACAAAGAATTATCTTGCTTGGAATGAATAAAGATAAGATGAAATAGCTAGAAAGATTAATGTTCTCCTTGATGAATAATGTCTTAGTAATCAACTCTTTGTTAGATCAATCAAACAAAATAGAGAAGCTCTTGAAGTTGTCAGAGTTCTTAAATAAGATGTTGCTGGTTATATAATCAATGGAGATTCATTTGAATTGGTTTAAGAGAAAACATCCTCTGTTGCTTAAAAACTCAAAGCCTATAGCAATCTCTTTAATGATTAAGAAATTAAGACTTTCTTGAGTTTGGCTTAAACTAAATAAGAAGAAGGAGTCAGCAGAGGAGCAACACTTGCTGAAAGAGTTCTTGCAGTCCTTGAATCCCTTGAAGCTAACCTTTAAGCATCACTTGAGGCTCTTGAAGTTAATGAAATCAATGCCTCATGGGAATTAGCTGGTTGGGTTTCATTGAGTGAAGCTGAAATTTCTAATCTCAAAGTTGAATATGAAAGAAAATAAGTCTTTGCTGATAGATTAGCTACTGTATTTATCTTATTAATTCCTAGTAAATCTAAGCTGCCTTAGCCTAATAAGCTAAATCTAAGATCATCTTATAAGAATCCCAAGATGCCCTTGATTAAGCTTAAGCTGATTTAGAATCCAGAAGAGCTGATTATGCTGAAGCTAAAGCCAAAAGAGATGAAGAAAATGCCATCCTTGAATAAGTTATCATAATGTTCAAGAAACAAGTTGCCTCATGGTCTGGAAGATGATTCATATAACTAATCAAGTTATTCAAAAACATTTATTCCATTTTTTTTAAATCTCTTTTTTTCATCATTCTATTATATCTTATCTTATTATCAACTTCATATAATATTGTTTCTCTATACTTATTTCTATTTTTTATTGAAAATTTTATTGATGGAGATTCAAAAATTAAGATTTCAATTTATATATTAATGCTTTTAAACATTTTTAGTCACCAATCTTCAAAAGGATCATCTTTTTATTTAACTGGGTCTGGCAATTCACTACTCTCAGGATAAGTAGCAAAATTAGAAGTATCGTAATCAGATCTTTATATTAATCATTTTTATACTAAATAATTGGAATATATAAAGGTTTTATTCTTTTTGTAAACAAATCCTTCCAATTTAAAGTTTCATACCATTTATGTTATTTAATATCCTCAACTCCATTTTTCAAATTACCAAATCTTTTTGTCACATCTTATTCCAATAAATGTTTTACTAAACTTTTGGCTTCACTAAATTTTATAATCTAAACTTTCAATTACTTATCAAAATTACGAGGAAATTTAACTTTTCCCTTCAATATTTTCTAATATATTGCCATTGGATCCTCATCATTAAATGGATCAATTCCTTTGGATTTCAACTATAAAACTAATACCTGCAAGCATTTCATATAAAAATATTCCCAAACACCACCAATCTACAGGTTAACTATGACCTTAAATTTTGTTTAAGATTTCATTGATACCTTTATTTAATAAGATTTCTGGAGCTAAATATTCAGGAGTTCCACATAATGTATAGGTTCTATCTTCAACAACTTTAGCAAAACCAAAATCAGTCAATTTTAAATAACCATCTCCTTAAACTAACAGATTTTCTGGCTTCAAATCTCTATACACAATATTCTTTGTGTGGAGATATTCAAACATTAAAACAACTTAAGCTGAGTAGAATCTACTGTAGACAAGTGATTTACTAAGCCTCTTAATTTTATACAGTGCCAGCATTCCTTAAATAAGTAAATAATTCTCCTCCTTATATGTATTCTAAAACAAAATATAAATATCGTTCATCCTAAGTGTAACCATATATTCATTTCTAATATTTACAAGAAATGGATGTTTTATTTACTTCAAAATTTTGAATTCACTTACAATATGATCAACTTATTTCAATCGTATTATTTCAATTTTTTTTAACATTTTTAGTGCCACATATTTATTATTCGATTTTTATTTTGCCAATTTTACTCTTCCAAATGAACCAGTGCCTAAAGTATTCATTATGTCATAATCAGCTAATTTAACTTTTTTAGTTTCCATATAATTAATATTTTTTATAAGCATGATCAATTTCATTCTTATGGTTAATAAGCAAGGATAAACTAGACTAGCCCAATATTTTTAATTTCTGAGTGTTAAAGAAAGAATGACACTTGAAGGAGAATTAATTAGAAAATGCCTTTCTAGAAGTGAAACACAATGTAGTTTTCTTGAACATAGAGGATACAAGGTTAATTATTTATTTCATTCTATAGATTATTTACAGAAGATACGCATCTCTTTATTTTATAATTGGAATGGATCTAGAAGAAGAAGTAATTCTATATCTCTATTTTTAAGAATGAGATGGCATATTTAGAATTTATTCATAATTTAGTAGAAACCTTAGACAAGTATTTTGAAAATGTTTGCGAATTAGATGTATTCTCTATATATTAATATATTTAGATAATGTTTAACATAGAAAAAGCTCACTACATTTTGGAAGAAATGGTTATGAATGGTCAAATTGTGGAAACTAATAAGACATAAATTTTAGGTAATCTTCAATCTTTATACAAACCCAAGCTCCAATCCATGTTTTAGACAAAGCCAAAGATGAATGATGATTTAGTTTGGTTTTTTTCGTTATTGATTTTATCAGAAGTATTAAAACTTAAATAAAATGCTCTTCCAATTCAAATATTAAAATAATAATATCTATTTAATCTATTTATAAATAATTTATCTAAATAGACCATGTAAATTTAAAAAAGAATGATACTTAAGACAGATTCTGATTTCTAAATAATCAAATCATAACAATCACATATATCAAGTTCTAAACCAATTAAATTGCCTCTTATTTAATTATCCCCTGCTCCATAAAAGAAAAATAATCTATCATTGCATAAACATCTAAATAAAGCACCTCCAGATGAAGCATCTTTATAAAGCTTATAAACCTTTAGAGGACGAAGTGTCACTTTAAACAGAAAAAATCTATCACAATTAATTGTATTGCATAAAATTATTCAAGTAACCCATCCCATTGTAAGCATTATCAAAATAACTTTTTGTACATTAATAAAAATTTTAAGATTCGTTCTAAAAAACATAATAAGAAATATAATATAGTAGACAGAAATAAATTTATACAGAAAAAAATTACATAGATAACAATTAAAAAAAAATACATGAAGCTTTATATTCATTTAATGAACACAAACCATAATTAAAAGTTGAATAATCATTTTCAAAAAAATATAATCTCTAGCAAGAGTAATCTTATAAGAAATAATCATTTTAATGCTATTAAAAAATAATCCCAAAATATCATACAGAATATACTAAACAACTGCTTATGTAATTTCCTAAATTGTTAGAAATTAGCAATCACCAATATTAAGATTAATAATAAAAATGCTAAACTGATTATGAAAGAGTCTTAAATATGAGTGGTAAGAATGTTATTTAATGATGATAGAAATATAAGAAATGAACGAAGATGGCCTATCTTCAATTGCCTAAAGTACATTTTATAATAAAGTCTGTTGAGCAAATTATAAGATCTATACTTTTTATTTTAATGATTAATTTCATTGTTAATCTTCATCATCTTATTCAAATTATATATTCAATTTTCTTGATTTGCCATATTCTTCATCATCAATCATGTTCTTACTATTCTCCAATTTTGCTTTTTCGTATAATTATTTCTATTGTTCTTCTAACTATTTCAAGTGCTCCTCATCCTAAAACCTTGCTCTATTTTAATTTTTCACCTTAAAATAAAATTCATTTATACATTCACTTCTTCTTTTATTTCTTCTTCTATCTCCTTAAGATGAGGAATCTAACTGTCTAACTTTAACTTAGAAATAGCCTTATAGAAAAATTCCCCTGATATTGTCTTTTTTCCTTGCTCTAAACAAATTGTATTTGCTTAATCAGATACTACTTAGATATATTCTCTAGCCATTGACATCACCTAAGTCACGAATTCATTTGAACACTTCATATCTCCATTTGTGGAAGTCTTGATAAATTGTTAAACAGTAGCTAAAGTTATTATATATTTAAACCTTTTGGAAGTTATTCCATTTCTATTTTTTTACATTTTTAATTAATCTCTTTTTTCTTTTTGAATTAGGATAGTTGCAGTACTTATTATATATTTAATGATTGGTCATTAATAATTCATTAGAATAAGTATAAAAAGAAAAATAGAAAAATAAAATAAATAACCAAAGATAATCCTGCAATTATATGTCAAATACCTTTCCTTTTATATCTTATACATATTTATTCACTATTAAACTTTTTCACAAATTTATTTACTTTAATTTTATTCTTTTTTCCATCCCTTATATAATAAACCATTTTTATAAGCTAAATATTCCCCAAAAATTCTAAGATTTTCTATATTCTCTAACGTATTAACCTAGAATACTAATTTTCCATTTTCAACATTATAAACATATATCGTATTCATATTTGATAAATAAAGAAATTTTCCATTATACAATGAATTCCTATAATCATTTGTATGCAACTTTCGAATTAATTTATTACAAGTTAATTAATAAAAATGGGTCTCTAAGGAATCATATCTCGGTTTTAAAATCAATATTTTTTAAGCATAAGCTTTAATATGATTGATTTCTTTAACAATTATAGATTTAAGTGCTTTTAATCTAAATTTACAAAATAATCGAAGTTCATAGGTATTTACCAATAAAAAGCAAGGATTATATTAGGTTAGAGAATCTAGGTGAATAATCTTATAGAGATGATCCCATTAAGGTGATTATGATAATAGATTGATATTCATATGTTTATCGATTTGATAAAGCTAAAGATATTTTGTTAAATAGTGAGATAAAATCAAATATATATTTTGATTATAATTCCAAAGTTAAACAAATTAACATGAGTCAAAATTAAATTCTTTACAATATTTATCGATTAAGTTTTAAATGAAATAGAAGCTTTTATTTTAGTATGATCTAATAAGAATGACGAATTAATTATCAAATGTAAATAGGAATTTATAATTGATTCTAAGAAATTCTAGATTTCGAAGTGGATTACATAAGACAAGAGTTTAGATTGAAGTATTTGTAATTTTCATATATTCAGTTGAATTTTGAATTACTTTTTCTGCTTCATAAAATCCATCATCTGAAAAAAAGACACTCTCAGAATTAGTTTAGTATATATTTGAAGGAATTTCTTAGATTGAGTATAGTGTATTTCGAATTGAAGAATTATTAATCTCATTCATATTATTAAAATAAAATTGTTATGATAAATATTAGAAGTAATTTTAAAGTTTAAATGTAAAAAGAATACTCTAGAAAGGAAAAATCAAAAAAAAATGAGCTACCATCTCGCTTAATGCGTGTCATCCTTACGCAGGGGCCATGCTAATCTTCTCTGTTACGTTCCAATTTAACGGATGACCCCGAAGGGTTCCAACATTTATAATATTGATTTGATTATAAATATGACAGAAATAATAATAAATTTTATGGGTTTAATTAAGTATATAATAATTTGAATTGATATATAAACATAATCTAAATATAACTGAATATTAAATTGTTTATTAAATAACATCAACCTGTGATGGTCTAAACAGCAGTCTTAGTAGATCCATCCTTAAATTTATAGGTTTTGGTAATTTTTGTAACTTTTTATCCTCCTTTCATACTGACAGCAGAAGATGTACTAACAGAAACACATCCAGGAGGCAATTATTCTAAATATTAATATATATTTCATACCATCTTCTTCTTCTTCTTATTAAGGAGCAGCTCCAACATGACCTCCTTTTCCTCCTAAAACAACCGTCTTTCCTTAATTTCCAGCTTATTATTTAGGTTATTATCCTTAAAGAGTGAATTCAGTAGCAAAGTCAAAAACGCATTAAGTTTAATAAGTTTTATGATCCCCTGCAGCAATTCCAACAAGATTAAAATCTGAACCAAAACAATTTTTTCTATGTCCTCTAGAACCAACACCATCATCAATTAATAATTAGATAATAACATCTTCTCCTGTTTTTTATCCATAACTAATATTCTCTCCAATTTTTCCATTCCATTCTCCATATCTTTCAATTCTATCTGAAAGAGAAGACCCATCAGTTCCTGTATGTCCGCATACTCCTTTTGGTCCTGTGTCTTTAACATGGTCAATACAAGCCTATTATAGTCCTTTGTCAAATGTCAATGGATGAAGTGGTTATTATTTTTATAGAAAACCGATTAATTCTAATACTTAAATTAAAATGTACCTTAAATCACCTTCGTACCTTCATTAGTTTATAGTGGTATTTCTCCAGGTTTATGTAACACACTTCCCTTAAATAGTTTTATTAGGTTTTATAATTTAGGTATAGCAAGAGTGGGATTTTATCTTACTTAATTTAAATAATCAAAAGCATCCTGAGTAATCTTATCATCTGGATCTTTTGCTTAAGGTTAAGCAGGAGGAACATCTTATTATTAGCTTTGAGGTTATTCTTATTATTATTATGGAACATTCTAAGAAGGTGCTTTTGCATCAAGTCCTGGTTTATCTTCAAATGATCCTGCAAAATCAAAAACGCATTATGTTTTGTATTGTTTATGTTCCCCATCATAAATTCCAACAACTCCAAATTCTGCTTTAAAACAATTTTTTCTGTGTCCTCTTGATGAAACCCCATCATCAATAATTAATTAAATGATAACTAAATAAAAATAAATTTATACCATCTTCTCCTGTTGTCTATCCATAACTAATATTTTCACCAACAGTGACATCCCATTCTCCATATCTTTCTATTCTGTCACTCATGGATGATCCATCAGTACCTGTATGACCTGTTACTCCTTTTGGCCCTGTATCCTAAACGTGATCTCTAGCTGCACATTCCAATCCTTTACTCCAAGTCAAAGGACCAAGTGCCTTCTGATTTTATAAGAATGAAATGCACTCTAGTATATATCCAAAAAATACCATTGACAGCTTTTGGACCTTCATTTGTTTGTAGTGCTATTTCTCCAGGCTTATGCAAAACATTTCCTTTAAAGAGTTTTAAATGCTCTTGCAATTTTGGAATGGCTAATTTTGGGTTTTATCTAAGTTTATTAAGATACTCAAATGCCTCTTGAGAAATTTTACTCATTAAAATTAATGACTTTTGTATTCCTGATAATTATTGAAAAAAGTGCAATTAAAAATAAAATGATATTAAATTTTTTAAATTAATTTTAAAATGGTAAAGAATGTTGCTTAAGAGAGTGTGAATCAAAAACTTTAATTGGTTGTTAGATCAGGAAAGATCACCATGGGATATAAGCAAACATTGAAAGCAATCAGAAATGGTACAGCCAAATTAGTGTTCATTTCCAACAATTGTCCCACAATTAGAAAAACACAAATTGAATATTATGCAATGTTGGCTTAAATCACCATTGTGTTATATCAAGGAAATAACGTTGATTTAGGTACGGGGGTTTTGAGGGAGGCTTAGTTCTTCTTTAATTGAATTAATTGGGATGAGTGATTTAATCTTATTATAGGTACCGCCTGTGGTAAATTACACAGATGCTCAAGTTTGGCCATCATTGATGCAGGAGATTCTGATATCCTTACCCAATAATGATTTAATTTTATTTTAGTACAATATTTTAAGAAACAAATAATTAATTTATATCTTTAATATAAATATATTGTTCTAATAAATTATGAATCACTTCCTACTTCCTCCTCTTGTTCTTATTTCACCTTATTTAGTTCTAATTTCCTCATCTTTCTTATTAGATTAAAAATTTTATTTAGACAGATCATATGGTTTTGGCCTAATATTATTTTGATTTCTTTATCGCTCTCTATAATCTCTATCTCTATCTCTCTGGCCCTAAATAATTTTCTAAGAATACTTCATGTTCTGTCTCATCAGGTTTTCTTTTGAAATCATCTTATTTTTTCTATATTTGAGCTCCACCCCTAGTTTTATACTCTCCTCTTTATTAAAAATCTTCTTTTGAATGACTTTCTTTTTCAGGTTTCTCATTATATTAGATTACTTGCTTATGGGAAGTATTATTGTTATTCTGTCTTTATCTTTCTTTTCCACTCAAAAAATATAAATTCCTTGCGTAGATCATGACATATTCAAAAAGTTCAACCTTTTTGTCATCTTTCACATCTCCTGGTGCTTAATATCCAGCTTAATTTAATTCTTCTTAAGTTGGTTTGCATCTATAATAAATATAATAAGTACGTCAATTTTATTCTAATTGCTGGGATTGATATTTTATTTACTTATCCATTCTCATTTATTTCCTTCTCCATATTCTCTAATGTTACAATAGAACTCAATCCCTATCATTATAATTTATTTCTTACCTTATATCTAGCTCTAATTATTTCAGCAACCAAAATTACATTTGGAATTGCAGATCCTCCACCAAAGAGCCTGACTGATTCACTTTTATTTTCTCTATCTCTTAAGCCCAATACAGCCTTCACCAAGTAAGAGGCAATCTGATCTTGAGAGGCCTTGGTCTTTATCATTATATCAAACTTTTCCCTCTTTTCCATTATTTAATGATAATATCTAATCCCTATATTTTTAAATATTATTCATTTATAATTTGCTTTAATATTGCACAAACAATTACCCCAATATTAATATCATTAACTTTACTCTATTATCATTATTTTTTCAATAATACAATTTCCTATATTGCACCATACTTAAACCTAGTCTAATTTTTATTTATTAAATATATTATATGTTCGTTAATTACCATTGTTTGTCAATGAATTGTATAATCGCACCTCTAAATGGATGCGGAGGAATATACTTAGGAAATCTAAATGCAGCTAAAGATGCCTAATTACTCTCTTAATATAATATTGGAGCAGTCTTATAAGTTCTTGATTAATCAATCCCAGTTACTAATGCATAAAAATTGGTATTTATTTAATGTTTATCTTGAGTGGATCATGGCTGAAGATTCTGAAGATTTTCCACTTCATAAATACTTTGAACAAGGAATCAAATTTATTGAAAATTAAACAAAAAAAACCAATGTACTTGTGCATTGTTATGCTGGTATCTCTAGATCTGCTGCTATCTTAGCTGCCTATCTCATGTAAAAATATAATTGGACCATCAATCAAGCTTTAATACATCTTCAATCAAAAAGAAAAATTGTTAGTCCTAATCCAGGATTTATGTTATAACTACAGGATTTTTAAACTAAGTTAAATCATTAAAAAAAAGAATCCAATTTATCAGAACCAAACATAAAAATTGAATCTAAAAATTAACAATGTGACATTCAAAATCCTTAAAGAATGAGTACTCCTTTACTGAAAACCTCAAGATTAGATGAATTTAATAATAAATTAGATTAATTTAGAAATTAATTGAGGATAAANGCTTAATTTAATTCTTCTTAAGTTGGTTTGCATCTATAATAAATATAATAAGTACGTCAATTTTATTCTAATTGCTGGGATTGATATTTTATTTACTTATCCATTCTCATTTATTTCCTTCTCCATATTCTCTAATGTTACAATAGAACTCAATCCCTATCATTATAATTTATTTCTTACCTTATATCTAGCTCTAATTATTTCAGCAACCAAAATTACATTTGGAATTGCAGATCCTCCACCAAAGAGCCTGACTGATTCACTTTTATTTTCTCTATCTCTTAAGCCCAATACAGCCTTCACCAAGTAAGAGGCAATCTGATCTTGAGAGGCCTTGGTCTTTATCATTATATCAAACTTTTCCCTCTTTTCCATTATTTAATGATAATATCTAATCCCTATATTTTTAAATATTATTCATTTATAATTTGCTTTAATATTGCACAAACAATTACCCCAATATTAATATCATTAACTTTACTCTATTATCATTATTTTTTCAATAATACAATTTCCTATATTGCACCATACTTAAACCTAGTCTAATTTTTATTTATTAAATATATTATATGTTCGTTAATTACCATTGTTTGTCAATGAATTGTATAATCGCACCTCTAAATGGATGCGGAGGAATATACTTAGGAAATCTAAATGCAGCTAAAGATGCCTAATTACTCTCTTAATATAATATTGGAGCAGTCTTATAAGTTCTTGATTAATCAATCCCAGTTACTAATGCATAAAAATTGGTATTTATTTAATGTTTATCTTGAGTGGATCATGGCTGAAGATTCTGAAGATTTTCCACTTCATAAATACTTTGAACAAGGAATCAAATTTATTGAAAATTAAACAAAAAAAACCAATGTACTTGTGCATTGTTATGCTGGTATCTCTAGATCTGCTGCTATCTTAGCTGCCTATCTCATGTAAAAATATAATTGGACCATCAATCAAGCTTTAATACATCTTCAATCAAAAAGAAAAATTGTTAGTCCTAATCCAGGATTTATGTTATAACTACAGGATTTTTAAACTAAGTTAAATCATTAAAAAAAAGAATCCAATTTATCAGAACCAAACATAAAAATTGAATCTAAAAATTAACAATGTGACATTCAAAATCCTTAAAGAATGAGTACTCCTTTACTGAAAACCTCAAGATTAGATGAATTTAATAATAAATTAGATTAATTTAGAAATTAATTGAGGATAAAGTAAATGGCATTTTGATTATTATCATGATAATTACTATGTTTATTCCTATTATTATAATTAATATAATCGTTTTCTTATTAATCATTTGTGATTTATTATCTTAAATTTTCTCAATTTTTTATTTCCATGTAAATATTCATCTTAGTCTTTATTATTATTTAAATTGATATAAATTATATTTTTAACGATAAATGGGGAACAGTTAAGACACACAAACAACAAATGATTTACGATATGGAAAAGTGAATAAGTTCACATACGAAAATTCATTGATAATTTAAAAGGTTGTTGACTTTAAGAATGCCCCTGATTAATTGGCTAATTGCATTCATAGATGCCAATTAAGTCAATCAATAAATCATAAGAACATAATAAAATTGCACAAATATGAAGTAGATCAACTTAATGTTTCAATATATTTTGAACATTATGATTATGATTTATAATAGGACATTTAGAAAAGAAAACTAAATAATGTAAGAATGATGAAGTATAATTAAGAACTATTACCAAGAACATGAACTTTTACAGATGCTTGATCAATTCATTTCAGCGTTAGCCTACCTTTAATAATAATAAATTTTTCATGATGATATTAGACCTTAAGTATAACTTATGATAACTAGAATATTTTTTTGACTCCAAATGATACAATAAAATTGAATTAATAATGGGTGATTGATAACACTCAAAATTAGCAAAGATATTATGCTCCTGAATAAATTTAGCAATAACTGTCAAATGTACAACTTAACCCTTTTAAAAGTTCAGCATATAGTTTAGGAATAACAATGCTTAATTTAATGACACTAACATCGATGGATATCGTCTATCTTAAAAATCAAGTGAATTAATAGTTAGTCAATGAATTATTAAGATGTACAAATTACTCAAATAAACTGGTTAACAAAATTCAACACTTATTATTTTAATATCCACAATAACGAGCTGATTATATGTTTCAGATAAACAAATAAGCTAATTTACAGCAAAAGTTAATGTCTAGTCCACCAAAAACCATAACTTCTAGTTAAAGATATGTTTATAGAGCATGCTAATCACCTTTAACAAGAACAATTTAACCTCGTCATTCCCCTTTTACTTTTAGAAGGATAGCAACTTCCATTTAACAACCTCATCCATAATAAATAGCCATTATACATAGTAGTCCTAGATAAATTGTAAAGACTTCTAGTCCAATAAATATAGTTAAATAATAAGAACAATAATCTTAACTTATGTTTACTCCAAATTAATCCATAAAAAATAAAGAAATTATTCAAAAATTAAATGAAGCAACTCCTAAAACAGATTTAGATTATAGGATATAGAAAGCTTTAAAATAAACTAATGAAACACTTAAAAAGAATTACATGTTGTAATGAAAATTATAAATTTTACAAATCATTATTTATTAAATTTTGAACCCAAATAATCATATTCTCCAATTAAACGATCACAAGTTGGGCAACAGTGACTTATTTTCATAAAATGTTTCTTTAGTATAAAGGGAATCCAACAAAGACATATTAAAATCAATAAAAAAGCAAGCACATAAGTATACATAGTGTATTCCACATAAACAATTGAACTACTAAAGGTATGGCAGTTTTCGCATTGAATTTAGATAGGTTCAATTGAATCAAGTTCTAGAATTTAATTATTTGAAGATGAAACCATTTAATTATTTTATTTTTAATCCGATTTGGCTTTATATGATGAATTATTCCCAGATGCTGCACTTACATTTGGACTTTTATTTGTTTAACTCAATAGAGGATAATTTTAAACATTTGGTGCTCCAATATAATTGGATTCGGCTAATCTGATGGGTGTTGTTAATTACATTAATAATTATATATAATATAAAAGAGAATTATTAATCTTCCAATCATAATTTATTTGAAAATTTTTATTTCAAGATTATAATTATATTTTTTTTCAATTACTATGTTTCAAATTATTCAATTTTTTATTGAAATCATTTCTATGATTCTAATGAATTTCTTCTAAAATATTTTCTTGATTCCTTTTTCATTTCAAGTAATTATTTTCACTCATTTATATATAAGAATTTTTAGTATTTTTTTTGTGTAAAAATAAGTTAATTTTTAATATTTTTTCTTATTTATGAAGTTTTAATTAGAATCATAAGGTTTTTTGTTCTAAAATTAGTACTTTTTACCTGATTTAAATAGTATTGATAATTTAAATTGAATATAAATTAATTAATAATGTCCAGGAGAGTATTAAAAATATTTACTCCTCCAACAGTTCCTGAAGGTCAAGGTGCTTAAGTCATACGAATAATTGGTAAATTTAAGTTTTTAAGAGTTTAGGTAACAATCAGCTTCGTAATCTAAATCCATTTATGATGCTTGATCATGCATTTGTGAAATTACCTGCAGGTTTTCCTGATCATCCTCATAGAGGGTTTGAAACAGTGAGTTATTTATTAAAAGGTTCTTTTTATCATGAAGACAGCAAAGGTTTTTCAGGTCATTTACAACCTGGAGATATATAGTGGATGACAGCTGGAAAAGGAGTTATGCATGCAGAAATGCCAGGAAGTTGGGATGAATTAACTTCTGGTTTTTAGTTATGGATTAATTTACAAGCTAAATTCAAGATGGTAGAACCACAATATTAAGAAATCAAAAAAGAACTTATACCAGAAGCTAAATAAAATGGAGTCTTAGTTCGTGTTATTGCTGGAGAGGCTTTGGGTGTTAAAGGGCCTATTTATACAAGAACTCCAGCTTTCTTTTTAGATGTTAAATTAAATGAAAATTCTGAATTCTTATAAAAAATTCCATTAAAATGGAACTCAATATGTTATATTTATGAGGGATAAGGTCTATTTGATGGATAAAATGCAAATTAACATTAAGTTGTTCACTTAGATATTAATGACAAACAAGAAGTCTTAAAAGTCAAAACAGGATAATAAAAATGTCATTTCATTATCATTGCTGGAGAACCTATAGATGAACCATTTGTGTAACATGGACCTTTTGTCATGAACACAAAAGAAGAGATTCAATAGGCATTTTAAGATTATTATGACTAAAAGAATGGATTTGAAGGAGCCCACTCTTGGAAGTCTAAAATCTAAAATCTCAGTAAAAAGAGATAATGATTGAGCATCTATATATATATTATTCGTATCAAAAATCATTATTTGTATTATATCATCCATTTTTTATTAAGATATCTTTTAATAATGAAACTTATTTTATAATGAATTTATTTTCACTAAATTTATAACAATCCATCTAAATATATATTATTTTAAATCATATACTTTTAAATCAATTTACTTTGTTCTTATTCTAAAAACATTAGATGTTAAAATCATATTTTTATGTAGTCAAAAACACATAATTACTGGTATCTTAAATTTGCCATAGCTTTCATTAATAGAGCTTTCATTGGTATTTGAATTATGCGATTATCAAATCAATAATAATAGAGAAATTCAAGTTCCTTAATAAATTAAATTTGAGAAAAAAATTATCTGATTAAAAAATTTTTTAATTTTATTACTTTAAAGAAATCATTATCTATGGTTTAAGTATAACTAATTTTTATTTTTAATGAATTATTCTATCTAATTTTTTTAAATATAATAAAGATTTAGAAAAATTTAATACTTCTATCTTTTATGATATTATTTCTAAATACATATGATGTTATATTATTATTCAGAGTATGATTTACTTAACAATTTATAAATGTATATTTAAATTTCTTAAGTAATTATATTGTTAGAGGGTAAACCAATAAAAGAATAAATTTGATTGAATGAATGATGAATTAAAACAATATTAATGACTATTTAATAATTAATAAAATTAGAAAATATAAAAAAAAGAGACGTTGGAAGTTATTGAATTTTTATCATTTGAAATTTTAATTAAATAAATTTATGTAATAAGAGGATTAGGAAAAGATCAATCTCATAAGTGAATTAAATCTACATAAATAATAAGTGGAGGAATACAAGTCTAAATACTTTTAAGCATAAAAGGAAATAGAAAACAAAAACAAAGAAATTGAAGGGTAATGATATCATGAATTAATATTAGTTTGAGATAAATGATGTAAATGACCTAGTCTATTAGGGGATCTGATGGTAGATAATCAGAGGATTTAAGAAGAAATTTGTAAGTTTTGATGTCAGAGAATCAAAGTTTGAAATAATAAACACAAGAACTATAAAGTTAATTGTAATAATTCAATTAGGCAAATGTGTATTAGCCTTAATAATTATAATAAATATAATTACAATAAGAAATAAATCGTTTAAATAATGATAAGATGCTAATTTAAGGAAATTTAGATATTTTATAACAGTAATTCGATGCAAAAACTAAAGATTTTGATTAATTAAAGGTGAGATTGTAGGCAATAGATTTTATACAGAATCTTCCATAAGGTTAGGAAGCAAATAAAATATTGGTAATGGGTAAGGAAATATAAAGATTGAATTAATAATTGATTTAGAGAGATTAAGAACTAGAAATTTTGAGATCATAATTACTAGAATAGTAAAAGGGATTGTAAGAAAGGGATAATTTATCAGCTTAATTAAGATCATATGAAGATAAAGTAAGGGGATTGTCAACTGATATTGAAAGTATGTTAATATAAGTTGGAGGATTGAAATATGATGTATAATTAAAGAATGAATTGGAGAGATGCAAATAATAGAAGTTAGATCTTGAAAGAGAGTTAGTTTTATGGAAGGATAAACATAATAAGTTAGAGAATGATTCTAAACATTTGTCTGAAATAGAAAGAAAAACTGAGGATTTATAAAATAGACTTATAAGAACAAATGAAGAAAATGAAAGATTGGAATAAGAAAATAGAGGAATATAATTGAAATTATAAGCCTTTGATAGATTGCTTAGAGATAAGGAATAATTGGAGAGGAAAATATAAGATTAAGAATCTAATATTTATAATATGGAATAACAATTGAATGAGAAAAGGAGAGAAATGGAGTAATTAAAAATAAGAAATAGAGATTTAGAATAGGATTTTATAAATTTTAAGGAGAATATATTTAGACCTAATGAAGAGAGATAAAAGAGGTTAGAGATAGAGATTGAGAATTGGAGAAATAAATGTTTAGCTTTAGAAAGTAATTTTTTTGGGAATAATGAAAGATTGTATGTGGAAAATGAATTAAAGAGATTACATGGGATTGTAATTTAATTATAATAAGAAAATGATGAGTTAAAAAGTAGACCTAGAAGAAATTAAAATAATTATGGTGATGAATAAAGATTAAAAATATTATTTGCAGAAAGGGAGAAATTATATATTGAATTAGAAGATGCAAAAAGAAGAATTGCTTAATTAGAGAGATAGCCTTTAGGTTAATAATAATAGCCATTATAATATTTTGATATTAGTGATAGTGACAAAGATTAATAGATTTAGGAACTTAAATAAGGAATTAATTTATTAATAGATGAAAATAAATAATTAAAGGCTGAGATAGATAAATAGTATTTATAAATTGAATAATTGGAGATAGATAAAAATTATATCAAAACTAAATAAATTGCTCCTAAAGAAACTGTTCTTGAAATGTTGGCTAAATAACCTGATTTACATAAAAGTGTTTTAGAGTAGTTGGCTAGAAGATTATATGCTGATCTCAAAGCTAAAGATTAAATTATTGAATAAATGAATTAAAATTTATCTGTAAGTTAATAGTTGCAATATGAAAAAAAGATTTCGGATTTAGAAGGTTAGATTTAAACTCTAATTAATAACTAGAAATAATAATAATAGTTATCTATTTCTTAGAATAATATATTATAGCAACCTGAATAATAATCTTTAAAAAATTCAAGTATTTCTAGTCCTAATAAAAAAAAAATATTTGATTAGATTGATTTTGAGAAAATAATTGAAGAAAATTAATAATTGAAAAATGAAATTAAGGAAATTAAATAATAAAAAGATTATGAATTTGTAGAATTATTAGAACAAAAGGAAAAAGAATTAGAACTTATTAAATTAAAATTTAATTAAATTTAAAATAACTAAAGCAATCTTAATGTGGATGATTTAAAAAAATTGAGAGATGTATTAGAATAAAAAGCATATGAAGCATAAGAATGGAAGGATAAAATGGCTACATTATAAATGTAAGTAAGAAATAAAGAAAATTTAAATTACAATAGACCTTTTAGTCAAAATATACTTGAATAAGAATATAAAAGATTGAGTTAATTATATGAAATAAAATCATTAGAAGTTGAAGAATTAAAAGCAAAATAGGGATTAAATGGTTAATTAGTAATTAGTGAAAATTTATAAAGTTAAAATTTAGATGTTATAAAATTAAAAAGAATTTTAGAGATGAGAACTGCTGAATTAGAAGAATGGAAAAATAAATGTTTGAAAATGTAACAATATTAAAATTAATTATAAAATCAAAATTAAGGAATTAATGGAGTTTCAGATTTGGAAGAATAAATTCGTAAACTTAAACTTACTCATGATTATAAAACCAAAGAAGCTGAAGATTGGAGATTAAGATATAATTAATTACTTAAAAATTAAGATCCTAAATCAGGAAAAGCTATTGATGAATTATAAACAGAATTAGTTAAACTCAAAAGAATACATGATGCTAAACATTAAGAATTATAAGAAATATAACCAAGATTTTAAAGAATTTAATAAGAGAAAGATGTTATGGAAAATGAATTAAGAAGGCTCAAATACTCATTAGAATAATAAATCTAAGAAAATGAAATGCTAAAAAAGAAACTTGGGCTTAGTACTGGAGGTAATATAAATAATTTATAAAATGATAAGGTTTAAAGAGAATAACAATTAAAAATATAATAATTACAATCATAATTATAATAATATTAAAGCTAAATGAATGATTTTAATTAAGAACATAACAAATTGAAATAAACTCATTAAATTAAATAAGATTAAATTAAATCTATAGCTTTAAATATTGACACTAAAGAATAGTAAATGAGACAATTGTTGGATGAAAATTAAAAACTCAAAAGCCTTTTAGAACAAAAATCTAAAGATATAGAGGAACTAAAAGCTTAATTGTAAAAGGCATCATAAATGCTTTAGTAAACATCTAGAGTAATTTCATATATTAAATTTCTTAGGAATATCAAGAATATAGAAAATCAACTTAATCTGTCGAAAGTTATAAAGCATAATTGGCAATTATGTAAAATAAGATCTAAGAATCTGAGAAAAGAGTATAATAGATATAGAGTGATATGCAAAAGTTGTAAAATGTTCTTAGGGAAAAGGCTTCAGAAAATGATAAACTCAAAGGTATTTTTATTAAATTAAATAAAGAAAATTTAAATAAAGTGAACCAATATTAAAATGAGAAAAATATGGTATTGCAATAGTTGCAGTAAGCCAAGACTACATTATAGGAAAAATAAAAAGAAAATGAGAAATTCAAACAACAATACTCATAGTTATTATAATAACATTAGAAATTACAGGCTTAACAGGCTGAAACTAAAAGTTAGTTGGACAAATTAAAATCTGTTTTAGGAAATTTTGGAAAATGATTTATAAGATATACTAAAAAACATTATAAAAATGGTTTTTTCATAATTCATCTTTCAGTTTTATAATTTGAGGAAAATTGCCAGAAATTGCACTTTATAAAGAATTAATAATTATAATAAGCTAATTATATTAGATTTGAATAAGTTTATCTTATAGAAGAAGTTTCAACTTAAAGTATTTACAAACATAATTTTAAGAAAAATAAATAAATGGGAATAACATCAAAAGTCTTAGCCAATATATAAAATACTTTATTTTAGGTTTTCATTATTTTAAGTGTATTTATTTAACTCATGTTTGATTTCATTTGAAACTATGTTCTATTTTATTTACAATTTTCAACTCAAACATTCTTTTATGATAATATTATCGTATAAATATTTTTTTGATTTTTATTTATTTTACTTAAACTTTTTTCAGAAAAGGTATAGTGGGATATCCTTTAATAGCATTCTCTTAAGAGAGCCTAATCCAAATGGTTTTTATCAAGTAATCAAAACAGAATATTCGATAAATAAATCCTGATTTTGATTTCGATATCAATTACAAAATCTATTTTGTAGATACTTATGGTTTCGAAGACTCTTATGAGATAAAAATAATTCAATTCTTATCATTATATTATTTAATTAAAACCTTTCTTTCAATTACAAAATCAAATAATTAAAAAAGTTCTTTTGAAAAGGTTTTAAAGATAATAAATAACAGAAATAAAATAATCAATATTAATCAGTGAAATTAATCTATAATTTTATTATTTAATCCTTGAAATGAATATTAAAAAAAGAAGAAATGTGAAAACTTAACATTAAAGAATTGAAAACAAGAACATAAATTATAGAGGAATTTGTAGCTGATTTTGATTTAGATTTTAATTTATTTTTATGTAATTTTTTCTGATTAAATAATCGAGATATTTTAAGACATTTCCAAAAACAAACTGTTTTTATTTTTGTATTTCATTTTTGACTAAGATTGATTTTTATATTGATCATAAAAAATGTTTAGATATTAATTACTCTTATGTTGAGAATGAAAAAACAAACTAGTAAATTTATAAAAATTCCTTTAAAAATATTATTAGTTGGAAATAAGAGAAGGCTTAAATAACTTAAGAAGAATCAAAAAGAGAAGAAAATTTTAGGAAGGACGTGATTAATGATGAAAATAATTACGAGGACTTAGAAGAATAGAAATTATAAATCATGATTTAAATAATTATTTAGGACATTGATATTGTATTTTTAAATTTTATATATTTTATTATGTCAAAAGAAATCAAAGCAACTGAAAATCTTAAACAACAATAAACTGATGCAGAATACAAAGAAAATTAAAATAAAGACAGAGATTCCTTTAGTGAAGATGAGGTATATAATCAAAATTATGAAATTTATATAGAAATATGGTGAATATGTTCAAAAGCGGAATCGTGAAATATTATAAAAAGTTAAGGAACTGTTAAATGATGGGCAATCAACTGCAAATTGTTAAGAAGAGTAGAGTTTTATTATGGGAAATGATATTATCAAGTAAGAATTTTTAGAAGACCTTGATGAAGAGTTTGGGTAAGTTTATTAAGAAAGCAAAGTCAAAACAAATGTATATGTGAAATTAATTCCAAAAAATGATTTGCAACTTGCCTATGTCTATAAAGATAAGTAATTATGTATATATAATTATTAGGTACCCATTCTTAGAAGTTCGTAAGCAAATTTTAATAAATATAAAACATGTTTCTTTTTATGCTTAAAAGATAACTACACATCATATTTTTGAATTCATTACTCTCATAATGATTATCTTTAATTCAATAATGTTAGCCATAGATGACCCTACAACTGATGTTTAAACACCATTTTAAAACTTAACAGATATCATTTTCTTAGTCTATTATACTGCTGAGGCTATTCTCAAAATAATTGCATAAGTAAAAATATATATTTATTATCAAGGGATTCATATTTCCAAAAAAGTCATACTTAAGAGATACTTGGAACTTTTTAGATTTTTCTGTTATTGTAACTGCTTACATTCCATACTTTTTAGATTCAAATTCTGTTAATCTAAATGCACTTAGATCTTTTAGAGTATTAAGACCTTTACGAACAGTATCATCAATCAAAGCACTTAGAACTATTTTATTGGCTTTGTTTGCATCAATTGCTTAATTGAGAGATGCTGCTGTTGTATTGATGTTTTTTTATTCAATTTTTGCAATTGCAGGTGTATAATTATTTTCAGGTTATCTAAAAAAAAGATGTATTGGAGAAGAAAATGGAATAACATGGATTTCAGATGAAATTCTGTTTTGTTCAGGTGACAATAATTGTCCATCTTCTTAATAAACAGTTTTAAATGAAAATTTCATTTGTGGTAAACAAATTGAAAATCCATAAAATAATTTGATTAATTTTGATACATTTGGTTATGCTTTTTTATAAGTCTTTATTATTACAACTTTAGAAGGATGGACTGATATTTAAACAGCTGTTATGTTAACATTCTCAGAACTTGTTGTATTTTATTTTATTATTGTTGTCCTAGTAGGAGCTTTCTTTTTAGTTAATTTGACCTTAGCAATTATTAAATTAAATTTTAAACCTGAAAAAATATAGGAAGAATTAGAATAAATTATAGAAGAAATTGAGGAATATGATTACAAATAATTAAGAAAATTAAATTTATATGTTCCTGAAAGAGAAAAAGTAGATACAACTGGTTTTGGAATTACTTGGGATAGGTAAAACTAGATAGATTAAAATGCTATTATGAATAATAGAAAATTTTCTTAAAGAGGAGTTTCTTAAATTAATATGATAAAGTATACATAAAAAAAAAGATGGAAGTATAAAAATAAGATGAATTTTGAACCAATAAAATCAGCAATATATTATAGTCAACCTGTGAAATTAAATAAAAAATTAGTTAAGATTGAAGGTATTTATGGAATGGGTAATTAAAATAAATTGAATTAATAATAATAATAGGTAACATAAAATTAATAAAATACAAATGCAAGAAGATCTAGTGGAGTTAGAAGAAATAGTTAATCAAGCAATAATGATGATAAAACCTCCTCAAAATAGATGTTTGATAATGAGAGTGGAAGTTTTAATAAGTAACCTAAAAAGAGTACACAATTATGTGATTAATAATTGAATTCTGAATTTATGAATTCTCCAATGATAGATTTATAATCTGAGAATATTAGACCATTAAATGGTGGAACTATGTTAGTTCATCATAGAGCCTCAATAGATAGTGGTAAAAGTGGTGAATCACATTTTGACAGATCTCCAGTTAATAATAAATTAGAAATTCCTAAAATTGGCGAAAGTAAAATTATAAATTAACCTTAGTTAAATAATAATCCTAGAAAGTTAAAACAAATCAAATGTTTCCTTTAGCTGCAGGGATGAAATTTCATAAACAAATACGCAACTCTCCAAAACCTGATTCATAAAAATCTCTTGATGATAATGAATTTGATAGTGTTAATTTAAGTGAATTAAATAGTCTATCCGATGAAGAATTAGAATAAAGATTAGAAGAAATGGATATAGAAATTGAAGAAAAGATTACAAATATTAATAGTGTAAATTTAAAATAGATGTAAAAAGAGTTGAATAGATAAAAAAAAATGGAAAATAAAAGACTTAAAGATCTTCATAAAAATGCTTAGTAAAATTTAGATGAAGCTTCATTGAAATTAAAATCTAAGTTATTTAATACTAATTTTTATCCCATAATATTTGTAGATGCTGAATTCAATAGTATTAATGATATACTAATTTCATAAATGCTTTATAAATTAGAACAAAAAAAATTAGAATAAGAACAAAAAATAAAGGAATAAGATATCAAAATTACTTATTGTTTTAAGAATTCAAGATAATTATTAAATTTTAAAAAATCTAGTAATGTTAAAACAAAAAGCATAACAAAATCAGGTTATTTGAAATCTGGAACTAAATTTAGAAAAACAAATATAAGTTTAAGAAGAGTATAACCAATTTTTGATGAATAACATCCTTTGGAAGATTTACAAATGCCTTAAGAAAAGATTGGAGATGTTAAAGAAGAATAAAATTAAGAAAATTAAAATGAAAATTCGGAATCAGAAGAAGAAAATGAAATTCGTAATGATGAAGATTAAAATAATTTTATAGGAAGTGGAAATTAGACATTAAACTAAAAAAGAAAGAAAAGAAAAGTAGAAAAAAGTGAATAATTAAATTATGAAAAATTGGGAGAAAAATTTTAGGAAAGTTCAGATTGTATAGTTGATCTTAATAGAATATATTAAGTGGAAATAAATAAATAATTAAATTAAGAAGAGTTAGAATTGCTTTCTCCTTTAGAAAAAGATCTATAAAAAGGAGTTTTCTATTACGAATATTATGAAATAAAATAAAAGGATATTCATGAAAGTAATGGAATAATAACTGCTTAAGCTTCAATTGAGGATGTACTTTAAATAGCAGATTATACATTTTATGATTAAACATTTGCAAAACAAATGAATTCTGTTATGAAAGCTTTAAATTATTCTACAAGAGAAACTTATATATATTTAAAAGGAATAATAGGTTTTTTATTAGTAACTTAAAATCACTTACTATATTTGGTTTAATCAGGTTATTTTGAAGGTTTAATGAATTTGGCTGTTGCATTAAATACAATAATTTTAGCATTAGATGGTTTATTACCAGAGAGTAGTTCTGAAATAACAAATTAATTTAATTTTGGATTTACAATATTATTTACAATAGAATTAGGATTAAAATTAATAGGAATGGGTTTAAAAAAATATTTTTTAGATTCAATGAATATATTTGATGCTGCAATAGTAGCTCTTAGTTTAGTAGAATTATTCTTTTTGGGAGGAGGATCGAATGGAAAATCATCATTATCAGCATTTAGATCAGTAAGAATATTTAGAGCTTTTAGAGTATTAAGAGTTACTAAATTAATGAGAAGTTTATAATTTATGGGATTTCTAATAAAAGTATTAAGTAATGCTTTTTAATCTTTCATGTATATAATGATTTTATTGTTGTTATTTATATTCATTTTTACACTTTTGGGTATGGCATTTTTTGGTGGATAATTATCTAAGACACCAAGTAGATAAAGTTATGATGATATTTAAAGCGCATTTTTGGTTGTATTTTAAGTGTTAACTTTAGAAAATTGGAATAGTATTTTATGGGATTTGTTAATTTAAGATGTTTCTGCATTTATAACAATACCTTATTTAGTATTATGGATAATGATTGGAAATTATGTTTTTTTGAATTTATTTTTAGCAATATTATTAGAAAACTTTGAGGAAGAGTATAAAAATGATAAGGCTGGTTTAGATACAAACATAGAGATAGGAAAGGATTCAGTTATGGATAATACTACTACTTATGCTGCAAATTCAACAATTGCATAGAAATCAACAATAAGGACAAAGAAGATGACAATTGCATAATAATTAGAAAATATTGATGATCATCATGATATTCAAAAACATAAATAAGGGAAATAAACATTTTAATATTTTATAGAACCTGGAATATGTTAATATTCATTATATTTATTAAGTCAATAAAATATTGTAAGAAGAATATGTTATAGAATAGTAAAGGATAGTAAATTTGAAACATTAATTTTTTGTATGATATTTTTGACATCAACTAAATTAGTATTTGATACTTACATAACAGATGATGAAGAATAATTAAAAGATATATCTTTGGATATAGACATAATGTTTGCTGTATTTTTTGGAATTGAAATGTGTATGAAAATAATAGCATTTGGATTTATATAATAAGATAATTCTTATTTAAGAGAATCTTGGAATGTCTTAGATTTCTTTATTGTAATAGCTTCATTTGTAGATGTGAGTGTTACATCAATAAATTTAAGTTTTGTAAAGATATTAAGATTATTAAGAACATTACGTCCACTTAGATTCATAACTCATAATAGATCAATGAAGATATTGGTATCAGCATTATTATAATCTATAAATGGTATTTTTAATGTGGCAATTGTTGTGATTTTAGTATGGATGATGTTTGCAATTCTAGGTATAAATTTATAGAAAAACAAAATGAGTTATTGTAATTTTGGAGATGATGAAACTCATTATGATTATGAAATTGAAGATTGTAAATAAAATGGTGGTGTTTGGGAGAATAGAAAAACTAATTTTGATAATATTTTAAATGGTATGTTGACATTATTTATTTTATCAACATTAGAAGGATGGCCAGATATGATGTATTGGTTTATAGATGCAGATGAAACAGGACCAATAAAGGGATCTTAATTATAATTTTCTTGGTATTTCATAGTATTCATATTATTTGGTTCAATCTTATTAATGAATCTCTTTATTGGTGTTATATTAGTCAACTATCATTTAGCTGAAGAAGCTTCAAGAGATTAAATCTTGACTTAATCTTAAGTAGATTGGATAGAACTATAAAAATTGATTGTTCATTCTAATCCAAACCTTGCAATGTTCTTTAGTCCTGAGAATCTATTTAGGGCAAAGATCTTTACAATTATTAAACACAAGTATTTCGATCCTGTAATTTTGATGATCATTTTAATTAATATTATTATTATGGGTTTATCTTAAGATGATGCACCAATTATTTATGATAATGTATTGACATAATTTAATACTGCTTTTACCTTTATATTTATAATAGAAGCTATCCTTAAAATTATTGCTTTAGGACCTGTAGGATATATGAGAAATACATGGAATCAATTTGATTTCTTTGTTGTATGTACATCTATTTTAGATCTCATTTTATCCTTTACTGGAAATTCATTTATTTCATTTCTAAGTGCAGGACCATAATTAGCAAGAGTTTTTAGAGTACTTCGTGTCACAAGATTATTTAGATTAATCAAATCTTTTGAAGGTTTATAAAAATTGATAGAAACAGCTATCTATTCATTACCTGCTATGTTAAATGTGACTGCTTTATTGTTTTTAGTATTTTTTATATTCTCCATCTTGGGAGTCTTTTTATTTGGTAATATTAAAACTGGATGGCTTATAAATGATAATAATAATTTCTAAGATTTTCATCATTCAATCGAATTATTATTTAGATGTGCCACTGGAGAAGATTGGTATAAAGTTATGTTTGATACTATGCAAGATGGATAAGGATATTATTGTATTTTTTTTATCATTTTCATTGTCATCTAACAATATATCATGCTCAACCTATTTATTCTTATTATTCTAGATCAATATGAGATCAATTATTTCAATAGTGATAACCCATTAAATAAATTCTAAGAATATGAAAATATGTTCATTGAGTCTTGGTCTAAATTTGCCAAAGAAGACAAAGGCATGAAAATGCATTAATAGTTACTTGTACCTTTATTGTTGGAAATGGAAAAACCTATTGGTTATGATTTAAAATAGAAATTGTAAAATGAAATAACTGAATGGAAACGAATCAATCCATAAAATGATAATAAAGAAAATATTTAACGATATACTTTAAATTTAAAAGCTCAAGCCAAACGTGATGTCTCTACATAAATTATGAAAATGAATATTTATTCTGATAATAATGGGCATGTCAAATATCACTAAATATTATTTTGTGTTATGAAATCCTACATGTGGAAAAAGGTTCAAGTTAATCTAAGTTAAGAAGGAGCAGAGAAAATCTTATAAAAAGAAGAAGAAACTTTGAAGAGATTGAAAAAAAAATAAATTGTACAATCAAAAGAAGTCTCTCTTGTTAATCCTATTGTTTAGTATTTATTTGTAAACATGGCTTTTAAAACACTTAAAAGATATGGAGAAAAGAAGAAATAATAAAAAGAAACAGATATTTTATTAGAATAAGAATATTTTAGTGATGGATTCAGTTCTGATTCATCATTTGATAACAAGATTGAAATCTTATCTAGGAGTTCTAAAGACACAGATCATCCCAGAAGACCATATTATGGAAGACCTAAATTCAAATCAGTGCCGAATACTGAAATTTATAAAGATGATATTTTTCTACATTAAGTTAAACCTATTGAAAATGATTCTAATAGAGTTTCACAAGATGAAGATGAAGATGAAGATGGTAAAATATTATTATTAATTTTAAGTTATGTAAAAATATACAAAAGACTTTCAAGAACATTTAATTGATAAATTTGAGAGCAATAGAAACATTCAAAATGATAGATCTGATGAATCAGCTAATAAATATAGTCAATAAAAAAAAAGTATTTAATAATCCAAAAAACTCTCCTTAAAACCAAATGACTATGTTTAAGGTTTTAGTAAAAAATCAATAAAATCTATATCTTAAACTAATAACTAAACTGATATTTATGATAATTAAATGTAATGAATTATAATATTTTATACAGAATAAAATAATTAATTATATATTATCATATAAATTCATAGAAACTTGAATATCCATTTATTCTTTAAATTAAATATCTTAAGAATGTTTAGATAAGTGTTTGGAAATTCTATTAGACATAATCCAACTCGTTTAAGATACTTAAGAGAGTATGTATGTTTAAGAGAAGCTGCAAATCCATCTGTTTAATAAGCTTAAATTGCCCAATTCCAATAAGTAGCAAATAAATATGGATTGACAACCTCTCAATTAACAAAACTCTCTGGTATCTACCAATTGAGTTTATTGCTTAGACCTTAAAATTTCCCAAACCCAAATGATTATAAGGTTTACTAATTTATTTCTATTTATTTAGCTTCATGTTGAAAAATTAGAGTTATTATTCAGATAATAACAACCAAATGGTGAAAACTTACAATAATTTGCCTAAAGTCTTTAATATAGAATCCCAGAAATTAGCAAACTTACAAATGAAGCTAGAAAATAAGCAGCTCAAGATTTGTTTAGCATTTATTTAGAAGGAATTCATTATGATAATTTAGTCTCACCGTAGAGATTATTTAATATTTTAGAGGCTATGTTTAACAATTAGAATCAATTTTCAGAGAAAGAACTAATGCAGTTATAAATAAAATAAGAACAGAAGTCAAAGATCCATAATTGGCAGCTCAATTAACAGAATCACTTGAATCAATCTTCCAAAACTATTAATTTAATCAAGGAAGGTATTTTAGCATTTAATAATTAGATATGTGGGTTTGATCAAATCATTCATAGAATCAAACTAAGAAACTGATATTTAAAAGACAGAAAAGTTGGATTAATAAACATAAGAAAAATAAATATTTATTCAAACTGTCGATAGAGCTACAAAGCAATTTTCAGCTGAAGATCAAGAATATGCTAGAAATGTTGATGGACATGATTTCAAATTATTTTTATAAGAATTATATGAAAAGGAATACCAATCAGGATTTGCTTAGAATAGATTTAATGAAAAAGGATAGAAATTAGTCTTTGAATCATAGGCATAAGAGCATCATGTTTTGAGATATCAAATATTGGCAGGCGTCTTTGCAGGTTATTTCCTCTATTTATTCTACCGAGGTGATGCATACTATTCAACGGTATTGGCAGTACCTACTGTTGCTGCAGCATTCTTTTATTTAGCAAAGTAAGGATAGGTATATTATTTTAAATATGTAAATTATAGGCAAAGAGAGCAATACCATTCATTAGATAAGTTCTTAAAAACACTGATAATTCTTATGAGGTTGTTTTTGAATAAAATCGTATCATCAGTAGAATTGAGAATGTGTAAGCTTCATAAATTAAGTAAAATAGCATATTATCAAAAGATTAGCTTAAGAAACTGCTTTTTCAAATAATTTAGTATTTGGAAATCCTACTGATTTTGGATATCATATTAAAGTTGCTGACAATTCCTTTATTGCTCCATACTTATATAGTGGTAATGGCTTAGATTTCAGATCATTCATTAATATTTGATTCAATATAATAATAAAAAATAAAACAAGACTTTATACATTTTAAGACTAAACCTATTTATCCATTCCATACAAGCCAATTTTATCCTATTCTTATTAATCTCTGTCTAAACATTTAAATGCAAATCCTAAATGAGATAGATAGTTTAATCAAAATGGAGTTCTTATCGACATATATTTTTTGATTGACTTACTATAAAACTTAATATAAGTTTTATTTCTATACTACACATTGCAGCAATTACCAAAGTATTACCAAGATGAAAATTAGGTAATTAAAATAACCTAATCATTTTAATAAATTCATATGATTGAAAAACTACATAATTTAATGCTGACCCTATTTACATCCTCAGAAAATAACATCCATCTAAGATCTCATAACACACTTCATTAGACCTCTCAGATAGCCATAAACATATCAAAAAGATTGTGACTATATTCTTCAGTGCATTTGATTTAATAAAAATTTTATTAAACTAGAAGAAAAGTTTGATAAAATGATACAATATTTGCTCATTTCTTAGATATTTAGATGATGCCATAGAAAAATAAAATTCAAAATATAGATTAAATTATTTTGTAATGCTATTGATAATTGAAGATCATAGAAATGCTGCTCATGAATAATTTTATTCTTTTTATGTAGTTAGAATTAATTATTTTATTTAGAAATTAAAAATATGAATAATATTCTTAGCAAAGCTATTAAATTTTATTCTAAAAATAAACGAAAAATTGATCCGCATATTACGATCTTAGGACTTTATTTGACAACAAAATTCCTATTTAGAAGAGCAAAAGCTATTATTTCAACATTAAGTTTATAATAAGTAGATATTGCAAATAGATATGGAAAAGGATCATATGCTCTTATAACCGGAGGAGCTGGAGGAATAGGAAGAGAATTTGCTTTAGATTTAGCCAGAAAAGGATTTAATTTAATTATTGTAGATTTCAATTAAGCAAGCTTAGATTCAATACAATAAGAAATCAAATCTATAAAAAGTGAATTGATGGTGAAAACTTTATTAATTGATTTTGCTAAAGGTGATAATCTAGAATTCTATAAGAAATTCTAATAAGAAATTTCAAAGCTAGACATATCTATATTAATTAATAATGTTGGAACAACTAAAGGTTCTTTTGGAATTTTTAATAGATTACCCATTAAAAATATTATGGAAGGGTTTTATATTAATTTTGTTGATCAAATAATGGTAACATAGGCTGTCATCAATTAAATGTTTTAAGAAATAAATACTAATCATTAATTTTGAATTTAAGTTCTGCTACATCATATTAACCAATTCCATTTTTTTTTGGATATGGATCATCTAAAGTATTATAATTAAGAATTTTAGGTTGGAATGGCAAGTTTTTTTGATGCTTTATCATTAGAATTAAGAAACCATAAAAATATTGACATCTTAACTTTAAAACCTTATTATGTAAGTACTGCAATGATAAAACATAAAAAAGGAGTCTTAATAATATTAGTTTAATCTACTTGGAAATATGTTGGAAGGACGAATGAAATTACTCCAAATTGCATTTACTAAATTTAAGTATATTTCGAAAGTTCATTACCATCGTTTATAAGAAATTTTATGATTTCAATGTCGCATAAGAAGGGAGCTGAAGATGTAACGAAGAGATAAGAATGATATATTAAATGTTAATAATATCAAATAAAAAATATAAAAACAATCATTGTTGTACCTACCAAAACATCAAAGGTTTCATACCATATAGGGAAGAATATATCTGATGGTAATTAAGGTATAAAAGGGGGATCTTGTGGAACACTATTTTCTATTTCATCATGAGGTAAATTGATAAATTTAATTTTTAAATTGAACCTATAAAGTTTTGAATTTGTAGGCATAGCAGTTTTTAGAATTTGATCTGTATAAAATATTTAAAAAGAAGATATATAGTTTTGTCTACCTTCTTTCATTCCAAATTCGTCTGTAAATATTAAAACAGTCTATGTTTAGTATATATAATCAGTTGAAGGTGCAGTTGTTGTTAAATTAACAAAATCTAAGCTGCTACTTCCAAATAAGGGAGTTTTTGCTAGGCCTAATAACGTATTGTATGGAAAACTATTAAAAAGTAGTAATCCAAACCAAGAAAAAGTAGATATACTTGAAGAATTAAGTGAATAAGAACAAGAAAATTAGACATTTTACCCAAATCGAAGAGATTCATAATTAAGAGGATTCAGATCATCAATAACTGAGCAAGTTGAATCTTTGGCTGATACTTTACCTCTATAAATTTTATATCCAAAAGGATTTGTTTATAAATTAACATGTCCTTAAACAGACTATCCATAAACATACCCAGCCTTTCCTTAGAAATTAGAATTAGTATCTATTAAAATAAATTATGTATTTTACTAGCATTAGCATATATCACTTCACTAAAATAATTGTAAAGTGTTTAATCACTAGAAAAGTATGCAAAAATCTTTGAATTAAAGCTTGGTGTTGTTTTTACAGGAGATGTACCCATAAATATAGATTGACCACTTACACATCCAGATGGCTATGCTTATTATACATACACATTCTATGATTTCTAATAATACTAAATAGATAGTCCATTTGAATTAATGGATTACAATGTAGACTAACAGGATAACATTAAACAACTTTATCTTTGAATCTATTTAAAATTTATGAATCTTTTGGTCTGTCTGCATATTCCGTTTGAATCTCTATAAATTAGGATATTAGATTTATCATTCGTTTAATATATTACTATTTATTAAGAATCGGCTTTGGAAACTTTAGTTTAAGGAACAATATAATCTTTAAAATAACTTTGTAAATAAATTGGATTATTGAGTGTTTATGGCAAGGTAACTCCTGAATTTGAAAGACTGCTTTTTTCATAAATAAAACAAATTTAATTTGATTGCTCTACAACTTAGATCCCTAAAAAATAATTTTGAATTATTACATTAATCAACATTTTGTCTCGATAATATATATTTTTTGATACACGTCCTCTTAACAGAACCTAATAAGCATTCAGTTGTAGATGTTGTGTTTGTATTTGTAGTTGTAGTTGTATCTCCCTTATCACAACAACATCTGTCATCAATTGCATTTACATTCAAGTTACAAAAACAGTATTCATCATTTTATATATTAAATGTCGTGTTATCATTTGCTTATTTTGTTTCATCAAAAATATCTAAAGCAATTTCTCCCTTTACCAATATATTAAGCTAAACAAAAAAAAAAATTAATTTAATCATATTAATGAGAAAAAATTATTATTAGAAATATATGCAGCATTCAAACACAAGATTTTGTGAATTATTTAATAACTGAAAATTCTATTAATAGAAGTTAGAGAGATATGTCTTTACATGTTGATGATGATATTATTATTAAGCTTAATTCCCTCATTACTATTAACTTTTATAAAGAATCTGATTGAAATTAGAAATCAACCAAAACTTATTTGAAGGTTTTAAAACTGAATTCAATTTACATATCATTTTTTCCATGAAATATATTGGTAAAAGTATAGCAACATAGATAATCGCATTCAAAAAATTAAGATCGTCTTTTGGAAAGAGAAGATCTAACACCAGTAATCACAAATATTTTCATTTATGATTGTTTTGTTACTTGCAAAATTTGTAATTAAGCAATAATAAGCTCTTACCAGTTATAAAATTACAATTTTTTTAATCACTTTAATAATAATGAAAAGTTAATTATATATTCTATGAAACAAATCTTGGATTTAGATTAATATAAAATAGGATTTTTTTCATGGGTCAATCAAAAAATATAAGTTTAAAAATAATAGTCTTTCTTTATTTATCTAAAAATTGTTAATTCAAAATTAAAGTAATCATTTAAAAAATCACTAGAAATTCAAATGAAATTATCGAACAAATAAAGATAAAAATTATTTTTCCTAAGATTTTTAATGCTCTAGTTAATAATGTATCATTAATTACATAAATGAATACTAATACAAAATAAATTCTTTGGAATTAAGAACATAATAAAAAAATCTCAATAATATCAAAAGATACTTTTATTACATTTAGTAGTTCCTCAAAAAAAAATTTTTTCTTCATA